TGTTTTGCTCAGGGCATTCTTGAATTCCTTATTTCTCAGGCAGTAGAAGATGGGGTTGAGAAAAGGTGTTAACACAGTGTAGACAACAGACACCAGCTTGTAGGAGTCAAAGGAAGAAAGGGCCTTGGGCCGGGCATAGATGAAAAGGGAGGCAGCATAGAAAATGGTGACTACTAGAAGGTCTGAGGCACAAGTGGAAAAGGCCTTTTGCTTCCCTTTGGCTGAAGGGATATGCAGGACTGTAGAGATGATGCAGATATAAGATGCAATCATCACAGAGAGTGGGACAAGGAGAATGAGGAAGGCCAACAGGAAGTCCATGAGTTCTGCCAGTGACATATCAGTGCAGGCTAAGTTGAGAAGTGGGGAGACATCACAGAAGAAGTGGTTGATGATGTTAGGTCCACAGTAGCTGAGGTGAGAGATGAAGAAGACCTTTGCCATTGCTATGAAAAAGCCACACATCCAAGAAGCAGCTGCTAAGTGGATGCAGAGGTCTTGGTTCATAATGGCTGGGTAGCGCAATGGGCTGCAGATGGCAACATAGAGGTCATATGCCATAAGAGTTAAGAGGACACACTCAGTGCATGCCAAAGCCAGGAAGAAATACAGCTGAGCCATGCAACTGGGGAAAGTGATATCCCTCTTCTCTGTCAAAAAGCCAGCAAGCATCTTGGGGACAGTGACAGAGACATACCAAATCTCCAGGAAAGAAAGATTATCCAGGAAGAGGTACATAGGCTTATGAAGCTTGATGTTTGCATGGATTAAAACAATGATCATCACATTCTCTGTTACTGTCAGTGCATACATGATCAAGAAAAGAATAAACAATGTCATCTGTATCCCAAGGCCTCCCGGAAAACCTATTAGGATAAATATCTGTGTTTGATTCCCCCATTTCATTGTGAAGAAGAAGTTGAAACTGCTGCTGTTTCAAGCTGAAATAAACATTAAAAGTCAAGTTCAAATGCCATATCATTCTCTGTATGCAACATTTAGCAAAACTCCCACTTTGAGTATGATGTAAGTAGATAATTCAACTTGTCAGTTATGGGTGTAACCACTAAACACAAAGGAGTACAGGCCTCCTGTGCAGAAAAGGAGGAGCACAGAAACCAGGATAACTTCCATGCATTTTCCACCTTGCTAACCAGCCAGATGGCTGATCTGAGGGTGCCACATGCTACTGAGCTTTTCAGAAGGAGTTCTTGCAACAGAACACACTGAATTGCAGCACCTGTCTTCTAGAATACTTTACCAATGGACAGTAAACAACCTCCCCCTGCACCCAAGTTCTAACATTCAAGAAACAGTCTTATTGATTGGGCCCTGGATGTGTGTAAGTCCCTGAACCCAGAGCTTGATAAGCATGCAGTCCTGAGCAGAACAAGCAGCATCTTTGCCTCCCAGCCCCTCCCACTTGACATTATAGCTAGATGGCTGGTTTTGGGCATCTAGCTGAGATGCTCCAGGTAGGAAGGGAAGGAGGTTGGAGTACCAACAGGTATGCCATATCCTGGAGGTCCCTGTATCCTCCTGTCTCCACCTCCTGGAGAACCCTCTTTAGCCTTCCCTGAGGACACCCTTACGACTTCAGAGATGCATTCCCATGCCCGTCTGGGAAAGGGGGAGGGAGAAGGACCTCAGCACAGAACCATGACTCTGAGATTAAAGCTATTTTTGGAACTTGGAGCTGGGAGTTCAAAATATTCTGTGACTCTCTAGTTGTTGTCTAAAGGCCATAGGATTGCTTTGTCCATGTCTTACATATTGTTAAAATCCCTGCTGTATAAATGTTCACTAGACTGAGTTATGAGCTACTTACATGGGAGCACAAGAGTTCTGTGCTCTGGAGTTTCAGAGCTCCAGTGTCACCAAGGAACTTTGAGAAAGGAAAGGCACAGCCTTCTGTGAACATTTTAACTTTGAAGGAATTTTAGGCTCAACAATAGTATGCTCAAAAATAATGCAGCTTTTGTGCTTTGTATGAAAGGTCATTTTAGTTGGGAAAAAGCAATGCAAGAGCTAGAGATCCAAGAATATCTATGGGGCAGGAGGAAAGCTGAATATCTCAGTATTAAATCATTCACAGACAAGGGGATTATATGAGGCAAGGAGCCAAGATATAGTTTGTTTATGGGAAACCTGTTACAGCTCATGGGCTGAAATAGAAGCACCTGCTTCAGGAGACTGAAAAAACTGGAAACTAAGTTTGTTGGATGAGGAAATGGAGGTCTGAAGAAAGGCATAAGAGGCAGGGGACTGAGGAAAGTAAGAGCCAAGGCTCTTGTCTATTATTTCTTGCTAAGAAAACTTGCTTTTTATTGACAGGAAGGGACTGAGTAACACCTCGGCAGTGTTGAAGTAAAGAAAGCAATAAATAAAGTATGCATTTACGAGTATTCAAAGGCGTTTTGATATACCTCTCCCTAATTTAATTTAGAGCCTTCTGAACAGGGCACAAGAGAGGGGGAGATGTTTAAACAATGGTGAGAGCATGGAACTCAATAAATGACTTAACAAAGAAGCAAGTGAAGCTTGAAGAACCCCCTGTCTAGGTTCTAAGGGACATGAGAAGTTGAATGGACAAGGGTTTGCAGGAAGGAAAAACATAGGCAAGAAAGCTGAAGGTTTGTTAGACTGATATACAAAAGTTGATTGGATTACAAACACACAAGCTAAGAGATCACAGAACCATATCCTCTTACAAGTTTAAAATAATGTCCCTATTTGTCACAGCATTAGTAAGATAGAAATGCTCCATGGGACATCTGCATGTCACTATCTGCAGGCCAAGCAAATACTATAAAAATGTAGCTAGCAGCTACATCCTGGCTCTCATTCAGTTTGTCTTCTGTAAATGCATTCTCCGAAGGGAAGGATGTGGGTGAACACTGAAGATGCAGTTATGTCTATAATAGCAAAAGTTACGTTTTAAGGAACCTAAAATATGCTCCTCTCATTGCACTTCCGGAAGCAAAAATGACAAAACTGAGGCTGTTGTACTTCAGGCACCTCATGAGAAGGCAAGACTCACTGGAGAAGACCATACTGCTAGGGAAAGTTGAAGAGGAAGAGGAAAAGGAAGAGGAGTCATGGAATGGATTGACTCCATAAAGAAAACCACAGTTTTGAGTTTGCAAGAGTTATAACAGACAAGACATTTGATAGGTCATTCATTCATAGAATCACCATAACCTGAAGACAAGTTGATGGCAAGTAGCTGACATTGTTGCACTTGACATCTTTTGTCAAGGTCAGTGTTAACTGATAATAAGAAGGACATAGTAAGAATTTTGTTTTCAGCAATTGCTGTTATCATCCTTAAGAAACTTCTTTTTTATACAGGGAAAGGGAAATGTGAATACATGGTCCTTCTTCTTGCAGTGAGGGTTGGAGGGGGTCTCTTATGCAGGGGAGGCATGATCAGGAGTGAGAGCTAGTGAGCAGGGCTGTGTTTCCTTTGGAGTCCTTGAGGTGTAGGATTCCTGCTAGCTATGAAATAAATGAATAAAAATATTGAAAGGTATGTTTCGTAGAAACAGGATTGGACAGAGTTATGGGTGACACAGAGTGGAAATAGACATAACTGTTCTCATTCACAAGGGAAACAGACAAGGAGAAGAGAAAGAGAACATGGATTGTGTCCCATTTTGAAGTCCAAAATATCAAAGAATAAATAAATATAAGAAGCTGGAGCTATTTCACACACAAATACTATATCCACTTGCATGCACACTTTGATTCCTGCATGTGGGCATATGTGTGTTTGGAAATGCATTTTTGCAGGAAGGGAACAAATCATGAGCTGAAAACAGGGAAACATTAGGTCATTCCATATTTCAAATACTTGTGAATGACATTGAAAAGGTTTACTTACATAGCCCAGTGTCCACACACTACCTGGTTGATTTCCCCTCACAAACATATTTTGTGGAGATGGCAGTGAGGAAATAGATAGAGTAAAACATTACTCTGTTGGTGTGAGAACTGTGGAGAAGGGAAGTCACCGTGGATGAATGCCTAGTGTTACCATTGGAGGTCTGCTGCAGAGGAAGTTTTGTGTAAGAGTTATGCAGAGTGGGTTGAGATAATGTGACTTCCTCCACCTTTCAAGATCAGTCAGTCATAAAGTAATAGAGGAGTTTGTCTCAGCCTCCTCTTCTTTTCTTCCATTCTCAGGTCACAGAGGGAACTGACAGTCACATGAAAAAGCATTTTCTTCTTGCTGTGCCAAATCTCCAATCAATCAACTTCATGGAAAACTCCAGGTTCTGGGATAATGAAAGACGGAGTAAAATGTCCACTTTCCACATATTATGCACAACAGTATACACCCATAAGGCATCTCCCATTGCTTGCCCCTTTTCTAACTTAAACAGTCCCAGATGTGGGAGCTTTTCCTCATGGGAGGGTTGTCCCAGTTCCTTGATCATTTTATGGATGGATGAATATTTATGTGCTGCCTTTTTTCTACAAGGAACCCAAGTCCTCTTGCTTAATCATCCTCTTCCTTTCCAATTTATCCTCTTCATTTTCATTGCCCTTTTCCATGCTTTTTCCAAAGCAACACAATATCTTTTTTTATGTGGTAACCAGAACTGTGCACAACATTCCCTCTGGATTTGTACCATGGATTTGTAGAAGGGGATTATGAAATGGACCATATCATTTTTGACTTTCAGGTACCCTAACTCCTGATTTTGTTTGTTTGTTTTATTTTTTCCCCTAGCTTTAGGGCAGACTTTTTGCAAGCTCAGCTTACATTCTTCCTCATTCACAGAAGTTTGGAAGGAAATGCCAAATCATCAGGGAAACCCTTCAGCAGCCAGGTTGGAGCCAGACAACAAAGGAACAGGTGACACAAGCAACATTTCTGACTGTGATCTGAGTGAGAATATTTGTAAGAAATACAGGAATGCCAATGGAAAATGTTTCCTAGATCCTTTTTATGCCCAAGCTGGTTCATTGCCTTGAGTGTGGAGGTTGGTGTTACCTTTCAGTTCCTTGCCATGGATTCCCTTAATCTGGGTTGACTTCCTTGAACGATGAGTCTCAAATGGCTTTTGAGTTCTCCTTTCCAAGGAAGAACATCCAAATTTGTGTTCAGATCAGGAACTCTAACTCTTGGGATACTAACTTATCTGTGGGTCTCCAATGATGACTGCACAAAAACAAATGGCATGTCCAACATACACTTAAAAATTCTCTAGACTATATGACAAGATGTTAATTGTCAGCCAGATGTCAGGTTGTGAGAACTTTGTTCTCTCCAAAATGCCAATCATGTTGTTAGATGGGGTTCTAAGAACAATTTTTACAATGAGGCAAATTTTATTTTTATTTATTTATTTGTTTTTCTATTTATATCCTGCTTTTTTCCTACAAAGGTCTCAAGCCAGTTTATATCTCCTCCTCCATCTTATCCCCACAACAGCAACCATGTGAGGTAAGTTGGGCTGAGAGCCTGTGACTGGCCCAACATCTCCCAGTTGGCTCCATGGCTGAGCAGGGACTAGAACCCAGATCGTCTGAGTCCCAGGCCCATGCCCTTAACCACTACACCACACTGGCTCTCAAATGAAATTCTATGGTGAAATACATTAACTGAGGAGTTTCTTCTCTGAATATTAAATTACTCACTGAACATGCTGAACATGTTAAGCAAAGTAGGAAAGCTTATTGTGAAAAGATTGGATCATTGAAATTAATAATAAAGCAAAGTGTAATGGAGAACACAACATGTTGCTTTAGCAACATTCCAAAAAAGGGAAACATTTTCATCTTTTGCTAACCAGAAGCCTCTCCTTTAATAACATTTTCCAAATATATCTACTGCTTCCCCCTGCTCACACAGCCCAAAAAACCATAGCCACAATGAATTTTATTATCAGAGGTGACAGTGGCAGCCCTTGGCTCACACGCATTGTGATTACTTGTCCTTCAAAGACAGACAATGCACATGATTTACTGATATGGATGGCAAAACTGCATGTTACTGCAGTATAAAGGAGAACTACATTGGACACATGGCAATAAAAAAACTATAACATTACAATGATATACTACGTGATTTGGTTGGAAGTGCTTCAACCTGCTATTATGAGAAATTTGGCTTATGGTAGAACTTAGCAAATGAATGAGCTCTATATATTTCCATATGTAAATAGATCATGGTTGCATTTTCCTTACATTATCTGCAATCCATCCCAGAATTATAATCTTTAAATCGCATTAGTAAAGGACTATAATCAATGTTCACAACTGATATCTAAAAATAACAAGAATTCATCCATGCATTAAAACCTGCAATTCCGTGCATTCTTGTATGGAATGGGCCCCATAGAGTTCAGTAGGACTTACTTAATTTACAAGTATAGGATCAAACTGTTTAAAGATATGCATCAGCATGCAAAACATTTCTTTCGGAACTGTCTGTTCAGAGCATTTTTGACCTCCTTGTTTCTTAGGCTGTAGATGATGGGATTGAGCATTGGGATCACAACTGTGTAAAAAATGGATACCACTTTCCCAAGGTTAGGAGAGGACATGGCCCCAGATTGTGCATACATAAAGAAAACTGTTCCAAAAAATAAACTTACTGCCATCAGATGGGAGGTACAAGTTGAGAAGGCTTTATATTTCCCCTTGACAGAAGGTATGCGCAAGATGGTAGTCACAATGTAACCATAAGATATTAAGACTACTATGGCTGTGGTCAGAATGATAAACCCACACAAAACTAGGAGCACAACTTCATTTATAAATGTGCCTGAACAAGAGGCTTTCATGACAGCTGGGACATCACAAAAGAAGTGGTTGATCTTGGTTGGACCACAAAATGACAAACTGAATGTAAAGCCAGTCTGGGTGAAACTGTTGACACAACCAAACAAATAGGAAATACACAGAAGGCAAAGACATCTCTTCTTGGACATAACCATATGGTAGAGTAGTGGAGTACAGATGGCAGTGAATCGATCATATGCCATCACTGCCAGGAAAAAAGCTTCTGTGGTTCCAAAAAGAGAAAAGAGGAACATCTGGATCAGACAACCAATGTAGGAGATTCTTTTGTTCCCAAGTGCAAAACTCTGTATGGCTTTAGGGGTGATGACTGAGGAATAGCAAATATCCAAGATGGACAGTTTCTTTAGGAAGTAGTACATAGGGGTATGAAGTTGGGAGTCAATAGTGGTGAGTATAATCATGCCAGTGTTCCCCACCAAAGTGATTAGGTATATCATTAGAAAGAGCAGAAATAGGGTTCTTTGCATTGGTGACGGAACCATGAATCCCATCAGCAAAAATTCAGTGAGCTCAGTATGGTTTCCCATTCCTTAGTTGTGGCACAAGGCAAAGTCAGGAAAAAGAATTACCCACCAATATCCCTGTATCCAAATGTGTGCTTGAACTGAGAGTTCCCATCAAAGGCTAAGGAGATGAACATGGTTCACCACCCTTTGTTATGTCTTGCTTCAGAAATTGCTTCTGAACCATGTTCCCAGAAACCTGGAAGAGAAGCAAAATAAATGAATGTAATGTGTCTTACTACTATTACAGCAACACCCCAGAATTTCATTATTGCTCAGAAAGAAGCAATCTGCTCAATCCAGATAGATAGCATGTCCCACAGGGTCCGGCCAGCATGGCTTATAGTCAGCGATTATGAGAATTGTAACCTAACAATATCTGGAGGATATCTTCCACTGCTCTAGGTGCTAATACCCTCCAACTGTGGCTTATTCTTCCACACAACATCATATACAGCTGGCTACATCTTACATGGCAAGTTCAGCATAGTGTTCAATTCTTTCCTTTTTTAAAAGTGTGAAAAATTGTAATTAGTTATCGCCTTAAGTTTTCTCATCTTAGCTTACTATATTAAAGTCTGACCATTGTTCAAAGCCTTTCATGCAGTATCACAGCATTTAAAAGTGTCTCAGAAACCTCACTCATGCAGTTTGGATAATGTCCACTTGAACTGCACTTACCAGGAGCTAGAATCATCCCATCTCTTCTCTTGGAGCAATACCACACTTCATTTTACTTCAGCTTCCTAATTTGAAGGCTTTGTTCTGAAATCAACTGGAAATTCTACTCCTCTTCCTTCCTGTAATGTTTTAAACATATTTCTATGCCTTGCTATGAAATAAATCAGTTGTGGCAATGTTCTTTCTGTGTTGAAGTTTAATATATTCATAAATAGTCCCTTACCAATTGAAGAATAGATAGTCAAGTTGAGTCTCTTGAGTACTGCACAAGTTCTGCTGGGACTATCTTCCTTAGCTTTTTAAAATTCAAATTACAACAGAACTTCACAGTTTGTCTTAAGAGCATCATTATATTTTAGATATGAACAATCCTCCAGATGTCGCTAGACATCAATTGCAGCTAGAATGACTGATAGTCAGTTGCCATTCAACAACATCTGAACAGTTGCAGGCTTCTCAACCTGTCTTACTACCAACACATTTCTTGTTATTTCTATTATATTTGAAGAACCCAATCCAGAGAAAGGAAACTGCATGAGACCTCTTAAAATATACAGAACAATAGTCATGAACCAAAGTTGGATTGGTTCCAGTGGGACTTGAAGAGAGGTAGTTTTCCTGAAATGGGAGTTGACTTGTTCATCAGTCAAATCAAGCATTATAATGGAATCCATTCTATGGTATGTTTCTGACAATAAAGACCACTATCCAAAGAAGCAAAGACCTTGTTCCATATACCCCAGAGCAGCTAAATTTGTGTTTGTTAATCATCGACCTCCATGCTATATGAATCCAATTTTGAAGCAGAGAGAGCTTTCAAAGTTGTTTTTTAAATACACATGTGGCATGATTCTATAATACTCACTTTTACTTATTTAGTAAGAAAATCACACATGGAAAGGCTCTTTGGATAGCGGACAGAATGCAATATGCCAAAAAATTAGTCTGGAGGGAAGGTGGTGCAGAAGTTGAGAAGACACATTAGGCAGGTCTAGAGGCTCTCCTTCCCCTTCCCCTTCCCCTTCTTCTTCCTTCATTTCTATGTTGCCCCTCCTTTGTTTTTACATGCCACAATATTACTAGAAGTCTCCAAATAGGGAACCTACACCTATCAGTTTTGGACCAAACTTCCTTCCTAATTTGAAGTTTACAGCCTTAGCTTGTTCCAAACCTTATGTTCACCAAGTCTGGCATCCACAGACTATTGCGTTACTGCATTTATTGCAATATCCAGAGACAGGGACAAGAAAGGGTGGTGATAAGAAGAGAACACGCAGCACAATGATTGTTGCCTTCATGGATTTATGTCAAGTCTTGATGTAACTAGGAAGTCATTTATTTATTTATTTATTTATTTATTTATTTATTTATTTATTTATTTATTCAGCCATCCATCCATCCATTCAAAGTGTATGTTTATTTATTTAAAACTTTTTTATGCCATCCCTTATGCATGGCTTACAATCATATCTGTGTAAAGCCTCATTTTCCCAGTGGATTTACCTTGTTGCGTTAAAAAAAAAAAAAAAATCAGGTCCATCTCTACTGACTTAGCCTGCTACAGGGGTAAAGGACAATCTTAACACATGTTGTTTAAGAAAAGTCAAAGTGAAGCACTACACACTGGAGTGGATTTTTTAAAAAAATATATGTTTAATTATACCCAAATGTGAAGACTGGAGGTAGGAAAGATGACAGCACTCCAATAACCAAAATGGATACCACCCCCCCCCCCATTACCACCATTTGCTCACTGAATACTGATATGGCATTCATCATCCTACAGCCAAGATGTCCATTCTGGTGCACAGGCAGCTGGTATAAATGGAGTGATGATAAAGGGAATTGTGGATCTTGGTGTGATGCAAAAGTGCTAGAGGAAAAGATGAAGTTGGGATACCATCAAAACATGGCCAAAGGCAAAGGTAGACTCAGGGAAAAGTGAGGGTTAAATAACGGGCAAGACTTGGCAGACCTACAGGCAAAAGATGTACCAGGAATAAGCAAGGTCAGGTATCAACAAGTCAAGGCAGGACAAAAGGTGAAGTCAAGAACTGGCAATTATCAGATACCTACAAGCTAAGCAGGACCAGAAGTAAAGGCAAGGATCAGGGTCAAACTGGAATCAAGAGGAGAATTGAGAAGAGGCAGGAGTCAAGGTACAGTGAAAGGCAAGACTGGAGGCAGGGACATGAAGCAACCACCACAGAGACATGTGTGGCCAGGCTGAGTAGTGCAAGGACACCTTCCACAGAGCTTTCCATATCTCCCAGCTGTGCTATATGGTTGCACATGGTCTAATCCTTTCCAGTCCCTTCACCTCCTGTACATGGTGGACCATGATGCCATTGGCAAATGCATCACCATAGGAGCTCTGTTGCTCTTGGAGATCCTGATACAAGATCCCAGACTACCCAGCAAGTGAGATTCCCCAGGGAAATAGTTGCTGTTTTCTCCCATCTGGTCATTTCAGCATGAGACATGGCATGATACTGGTTTTTATTTTTTTATTTTTAACCCATATTGGTATTAGACAAGAGGTGTGAGGTTAAAAGTATGAGGTTGGGCATCTTGGAATTAATAACGGTGCTATATGGAAGTCTGACCTAATTTATTCATTTCTTTGTTCAAAACATGCACTATTACACATTTGCATTAAATCTCTTAGGCCAGAATAAGAGTGCCAGCCAAGCATTTCCTGGGAAAAATCTTCCACAAATGGGGCACCACCACTAAAAAGGTTATGTTGTTGTCTGCCCTCCACCTAATATTTGAAGAGAGCACCTATAGAAGGTCCTCAGAATGATTTTATCATTTCAGGAGAATTAGGTGGAAGCAATCAATTTTTAAATACCCAGATTCTAAGTAACAGAGGATATTAAAGTGAAGACCCGCAGCCAGTGAAGTTTAAAAGAACCAACAAGATATTTATGCTTTGGTTAGACCTGGTCAACAGTGACCACATTTGGGGCAAATGGTAGCTTATTTTTTTTTTTCAAAGAATGCCTCACAGTACTCATATCTGGATTTTACAAATTCATGAATGTCAGTCTACTTCTTCCTAAAAGGAATCACAGCAGATGTTCCAACATTAGCACATGAAAAAGTGTATGATGAGCTTGCCACTGAAAATGAAGACCAGAATATGAAGAATCTTGCTAATGTAATTTTTGTAATGTGGCATAATGTTTAATGCAATGTTTGCTAATGTAATCTATTAATTTTACAATAATAGATTGGAAATAGATAAAACAATAAATTATTTTGCAATAATAGATTGTGATTTTACATTACATTTGGTTAATGTAATCAATTACAATTATATTTAAATCTGGGGAGAAAATTACATCCACAAAATAAAGTAAATCTTATCCAAAAGGTTCAAATTAAAAGAAGAGGAGGAAGAGGAGCAGCAGCAGCAACTTCAACTTCCCTACAAATCAATTGTGCAGTTAATCAAGAAGTATAAAGAAAAAATATTTTTTATTTTTAGTGGAAAAATTGAATTATAATAGAATAAATATTTTTATTTCTATTGGAATTCAAATGAATGAATTCCAGTGAATTCCAATGCTCACTACCCAGATTTATCCACAGATGGAATTACTACTAACACACACAGTAAGGAGGAACAGGCTTATTAATTAAAAGCAATCTCTTTGCCAAGATTGTCTGAAAACTGGGGGCCTGGAATGGCTCTGCTGCTTATGAAGTCCCCTGCAAGGTATTTGTATTAGCCTCTCAAGCAGCAGGTCAGTGGTTAAGGTGTTTCTGAACTGTATCATATCAGGCTGCAAAGAGGTAGAAAAATGCAAGTCAAAAATGATATCAGTGTGTTCTAGTTTATTCTTTCCATGGTGTGTTTCCTTTATGTCTCCAAGAAAAGAGAATGCCCCTTCAATGAAAAATATTTTGCAAGATGTTTTACAAGTTAATCACTGATTCTCAATCAATCAAGTGATTTGTTCTCCTCTGAAGCACTGTAACATTATGGGGCAGGCTAGTTCCGTGGATAAACATATAATGAGTATGGATAACATAATGTTGTGGAGTGTGTTGCCCACACTCTGATGAAAGTGCACAGTTGATTTAAAAAATCCATCAATTTCATAGAAATAAAACTAAAGGAACAAGAAATGCATTCCCTCAACCCACACATGTACACAAAGGAAAACAAGTCTACACAAACATCATTAGATATTATCAATATATGAGGGCGGGGTACAAGTACATAGATTTACTACCTGAAAACATAATGATTAGTAAATTAATAAAAAAAATATCAAATAAATACTTAAGAGTGGAGAATAGCTTAGTGTCCAACATAACTTCTCTGATTCTAGAAGCTGGACAGAAGGGACATCCTGTGTTATATTTGATCATACTTAGGACATATTAAATCAATTTTATCTTGTTAGTCATAAGTAACAAATTCAATGATACCACACAGACACACATTTATACATGGATATGTATGTATGTGTGTGTATAAAACAAGTACACTAAAACTGGACTTTAGTCATTAAATATGGTCCCATTACCATGTAAACAGAGATCTTCAATTGTGCTGTTCAACTAATATATATTTATGTTCCTGCCTAAATATTTTCAGTCTAAAATATGCAATGACAATATTCTTAGACAAAATAGAAATTTTGGGGAGTAGACGTTCCTATTAAATCTTTTTCATGTCTAATCATTTTGACAAGTGGTGCTGGAATTCTATAATTAAGCAGTCAAATAGTCATACATTATGGAAAGAAAGGTCAAAAGATATCATGGTAATCACATATGACTATTATTGGTGTTATTCTAAATGTGATTCCCTTTTGACAGACAAAATGGTCCCAGGTTTATGGGGAGAATGCCAGTCCTATCAGCTGCCTCTCCAAGGCATTTTTGACTTCTTTGTTCCTCAGGCTGTAGATCAATGGGTTCAACATTGGAATTACAATGGTGTAGAAAACAGACAACACTTTGCCTTGTTAGGAGCAGAGATGGCCCCAGGCTGGCCGTACATGAAGAAGGTTGTCCCAAAGAGCAAGCTTACAGCCAAGACATGGGAAGTACAAGTTGAGAAAGCTTTGCATTTGCCCTCTAAAGAGGGTACCCAAAGGATTGTAGCCACAATATAGTCATAGGAGATTAGGACTGTTGAGGATGTTATCAATACAATAGACCCACACAACACTAGAAGCACAATTTCATTTACACAGGTCTCTGAGCAAGATGCCTTCATGACAGCTGGGACATCACAAAAAAAAGTGGTTGATCTCCCCTGGCTCACAGTAGGGCAGACTGAATGTGAGGGCAGTCTGTGTGCTGCAGTTGAGGAAGCCAAAGAGGTATGAAGCTGCCACCAGACCTTTACTAGTCTTCTTGGACATAGAGGCATGGTAAAGCAATGGGTTGCAGATGGCAATGTATCGGTCATATGCCATGGCAGCCAGGAAAAAAGTTTCAGTGGTCCCAAGAAGAGAAAAGAGGAACATCTGGAGTGCACATTCATTGTAGGGAATGCTCTTGTTTCCACTTGCAAAGCTCAGCATGGCTTTGGGAGCAATGACAGAACAATAGCATATATCTACAAAGGATACGTTTTTCAGAAAGAAGTACATGGGGTGTGAAGCTGTGAGTCAGCACTGATTATTATGATCATACTGGTGTTCCCCACCAGTGCAAAGATATACATCACCAAGAATATAATTAAGAGAGCTACCTGCATCTCTGGGCTACCCTGGAATCCCATCAAGATGAATTCAGCTATCTCTGTCTGGTTTTTCATAGTGCAAGTGCCACAGAGTTAGGAGAAAATGTGCTTCTTCTAAGACTTCTGTGATTATAAACAACAAACATGTGTGGTTGCATAGATGTTCCCCATAGGTTCCTCTTCATTGTTAAACACAAATCCATCAAAGTTTATGAGGGCTGAGCAGCACTGTCAACCTTTTGACAGTTTAAATCTTTTCCCCTTACCCAGTAAATGTGCCACATATCTCATTAAACTTATTTTTATGTATCATTTTCTCACTTTAATATCACTGATTAATTTATCATTAATAACTATATTTGAAACTTATCTGTAGCAATCACCTGACTGGTAATCATATTTTACTTTCTAATTCTTAGCTATGATTAATCACACAGTAGTTATTAAATTTGCTATTATGAGTTCTTTATTATTCCAGCTCCATTGTTTCTTATCAAATATTGAAAATGATGCAATCTCGGGGCATATTTCAATATTTAAAATTAATATTTTACTACTCTCTTTAAAGACCTCTTTCCAAACCTTCATTATATAGTCCATGCTGGCTGCAAGGGGGTTGGGGAGGGACTTCGGCTTAGAAGTCTTAGCCTTGAGGTCATAGGACCTTGGAGGTGGGGCTCCAAATAAACCTGTGACCCCCAGAAAATATCATAAGGCCATAGGTTTGTGCCCATAAAGTGAATCCAGTACCATGCTGTCTGTTGGGAATAATCAAATTAAAAGTGAATGTTCCAATTGTAGACAATATTGAGATAGTGAGTACTATCATTATCATTCATTGCAGTGATAATAGTATGTGTCATTCCCAAGATCAATGTGCCCAAAAATCTCATAGTCCAAGAACAGGCAAGCAACAATAGAAATCAATGCATCATTACCAAAAATCAGTTCAAACCAGTTCATTTCAAAACATAATAGGGCAATCACAATTCACAATTCTTTATTAAAAATACACAGTGCATGTCATTAAACACAATAGCAATATTACTTATCCATTGTTAAAATCTATAAGCCAGAGTGAAGTATTAAAAAAAACAAACTTTCCAGCACAATCAGATATTAATAATATAACAAGCGGCTAGTTCCTCAAGAGTTCAAAGTGGAGGAAATAAAATAAAAAAATCTTCAAAGTGTGCATCTGAAAAGTGCAAGAAGTAACAAAGCAGTAGCTGCAGTAACTTGCTATGATGTTCTCTGAAGCCACTGTTTCCAATCTTCTTTTCTCAGTGACAGTGACTGGAGGGAACCTTTTTTTCCTGAAGTCAAAGTTGAGAGTAAAGTTGGTTATAAGGCTTAAAGGGGAAAGACATCTTAAGTCTCCTATTGTTAGGCAGTGATGTGACCATTTCCCTGAAAATAAAAAGTTATCTCACTAGGATAAAATGATAACCTATTCCCCCCCCCCCCCCGAGCCTTTGTTATCTTTCTTGGCAGTAAACCCTAGTAAAAATCTGATTGTATATGGTTCGCAACTTCTCTGCAGTTACATGGTGAATTTATATGCTGTAGCAGGTTTTAAATAGGGTAAAATTTAAGATGTATGCATTTGGTAAAATACATATGTGTTTGATGTTTATTTCCATGATATTATTTAATCCATGAAAACCATATAAAGTATACATTATTTTAATAGCTTGGTCTGTTTATGGAGAGAATATTTTAATATAGCAAAATAATATTCAGAGGAAGGAAGCCATCCTTTTCAGCTGCCTCCCCACAGCATCTTTGACTTCCTTGTTCCTTAGGCTGTAGATTAATGGGTTCAACATGGGGATAACAATAGTGTAGAAAATGGACACAACCTTGCTTTGATTAGGAGATGAAATGGCCCCAGGCTGGCCATACATAAAGAAAGCTGTGCCAAAGAACAAGCTTACAGCCATGATATGAGAAGTACAAGTTGAGAAAGCTTTATGTCTACCCTCCACAGATGACATGCCTAAGATTGTGGTGACAATGTAGCCATAAGAGATTAGAACAATGGTTGCTGTTATTACTATGATAAAACCGCACACTGCTAGAAGCACAATTTCATTTACAAATGTTTCTGAGCAAGATGCCTTCATGACAGCTGGGACATCACAAAAAAAGTGCTTGATTTTCCCTGGTTCACAATAGGACAAGCTGAATGTAAGACCTGTCTGGGTGCAACAATTGAGGAAGCCAAAGAAATATGAAACTGCTACCAGAAGTGAACAGGTCTTCTTGGACATGGTGACAGTATAAAGCAACGGGCTACATATTGCCATGAACCGGTCATATGCCATCACAGCTAGGAAAAAACATTCAGTTGTCCCAAAGAGAGAGAAGAAGAACATTTGCATGGCACACTCATTGTAGGAAATGGTTTGGCTTCCACTTGAACAAATCAGCATGGCTTTTGGAGTGATTACTGAAGAGTAGCAGACATCCAGGAAGGCTAGGTTCTTCAGAAAGAAATACATGGGATTCTGTAGTTGGGTGTCCACTGTGATGATGGTGATCATTCCTATATTCCCCAGCAAAGTGATCACATACAGCAGTGCAAAGAGGAAAGATAGGCCCAGCTGTAGGTGCAGGTGACCCTGGAATCCTTCCAAGATGAATTGTGTAACAAAACTTTGATTTTGCATGTTGTTTTCTAAATAATAAAAAAGTGGGGTGAGGACATGTTAGGTGACTGCCTTTTATCCTAATTTGCCTAAATGAAACCAAGTAGTGGATTTTAAGGTTCTCTGTAACTCTGCACATTTACCAGGGTTTATTGGATTGAGTGCATTGGTTTTTGTAGCAGACGCTATTCCAGTCCCAAAAAACAGAAGCAGGTGTGAGCAGAATGAGTGTAAGTTTAATGCTATGGACTCTGAATGTTAAGAATAATGTGCCAGGAGCAAATACAACCCTGGAGACACAGACAATTATTCTTATGGCATGTCATTCTCTATGGTATCCTCTGAATCTGCCACAGAGATCTGAGGTTGTCAATTTCATGTACTGTGCAGTAACAGACCCAGGTTTGACACTACATGTTTACCTGACAGAGGGAATATTATTATGCCATAATTGTACATACTGGGACATCTACGTGGCTGTTTCTTGCTGTATTCATTCATCTCTCTGTTGCAGACTCTCAAAATTCCCAAATTTGGATTATTACAGTTCTTACCTTCTGCCTAGGAAAAGGAAGCCCTAACCATATATTTGATTGACACAATGTTCAGGCAATTGATAGAGAAGTCAGGAACCTAATGTGTTAAATCTACTGCTGAACTCTATTACCATGGATTTCTGACTGAGGGCTGAATGTTTGAATGTTCCCCCATTCCAAAAAATAAAAATAATTCCACTGCATGAAGTTATGTTCTGTAGGTCAGCATCACAAAAGTGCACTTCCACTGCCACACACATAAACAGCCTGAAGTGGAAAATCAAAGCAACAGATCTGTCAGTCTTCTGGATATGTACTTCAGCAGTACTAGTTCACGGCTGGAAATGATGGGCTAGGATGAGCTATATTGTAAGAAGAGCTCAATGTATAGCTCACAGACCATGCTTCAAGAAGTAAACAAGACTTGGTGATGAGGTGAGCCTGGTCCATGTAAGCTGATCTGGCTTCCCAGAAGACAAAGCACCCAGATAAGGACATAAGTCATGAAGCACATTCCCTGTGCTCATTTCTATTTATTCATACATTTGAAAGGAAGAGAGATGAATGATGCAAGCAACATCTGTGGTGATCAGTTTTACTAGGGAATGTGACCACTGAAAAATACAGTTTATGGGCTAGCTTTGGGTTGTAATGAAATGTTACCTTTGATTCACACATGCGAGCACTTGAATAGCAGGATTGCCTTTGCAAACACACACACACACACTTCTCATGGTAGTCAGATTTGTTGTTATAGCTGTTGTTGTCAACCTTGGCTCCAAGCAGCTTTCTTCCAATTTAAAATGAGACTCATTTACAAGAAGTATGACCCACTATCTTCTATTTCACTAATGTTCTCCTTGAGTTACAAAACAAGATTCCAGGTCTTGTTTATGGGAAATATCAGACATTCTGGAAAGGGACATTTCCAGAAGGAGGAAAAATGTGTGGTCCTCACAAGCATTGTTATCTTTAGTATTTTACTGTAAGGCACCTAGAAAATAATCTGGATTAGTGGGCAGTATACAAATTCAGAAATAAATAAATTAATGTAGATATAATGCCCATGGACTGAATCCTACTTTCTAGGATTGATAGATACTATGTTGTTTTAAACAGTGGTAAGGGTTAACAGTAAATCCACATAGACTTTGATGCTCATAAAGGGACTTCAATCAATGCGGTCTTTTTGTTCCATGCATAGAGTGAAAGCTGTAATTCTTTTCTAAGGGTTGAGAAGCATTTTTTCATGGGCAATGAAGATTCTAAACACACAAGACATTACTTTGATCTTATATAATGTATCCTAAATTGGAATACATGTGGAATTCCTAAAAGGTCCAAACTAAACATTGTGGTTTATGGTGTACATATCAGACTTAGAAAGTGTAAGGGCTGGCACTGTCTCTCTGACACAATCTCATTAAGCTTGTTCGCACTCTTTGCAAGCACAGAGTTATATGATTTTTTACAATGCCAACTTGTATTATCTATTCCACCCTCCTCCACCTCATCACAAAGGCAGAACTGTGTCAGAAGTGACTCATGTAAAAGTAGTTCCATTCCTTATTCACTGCCCTTTCCTGTAATCATATAACAGCACAGATATACTTTATTTCAAAACACTGCATCTTCTTAAACTTATATAAGGAAGACTGTTATACTTTTCTCATTTAAAGCTCAAATTCTGTAGCAGATGAAATTGCCTAATTGCCTTGCTTTGGCATGCCTGCTCTCATTTTAGAAAATCTATCCAAATAATACCTGTAACAATATCAGCATTATTAGCGGATATATGCAAGCAAGAAACATTCCTCACCTTGATTTTTGTAGCATAATGGGGTCCACAAACTACAGGCTTATATGTCTCAGTACCATAATCATTGTGAAACACTGAAGATCTTCAACTCATAGCTGTGACAAAGTATTCAAGGATGTTATTTTCTTCCATTGAAAATGGAATTGGTGGAAAGGAAAGCAAGTGTGTTACTGTAGACAGGAATATTCTTGCTTCTTGTCCTCACCCCACTTTTTATTTTTATTTTTTTGGTCTCTTAAAGTAAATGGTGCTCACTTCAGACCTAGTCCCTGGAGCATTGGAATGAGCCAAGCTGAAGAACAGGTGCAGCATTTCCTAAGTGTAAAGAAAGCATGTTCCAACCAACCCCCACCTCCATGTTCTGGGAGTGTGTTGTGGTGTTGGATGCTTATTTGCCAGATACATACAATGCCTCACAAGCCTGGTTTTGTCTAGTCTGGGTCCAAATGACTTTCTTCTGGTTGAAAATAAGGCTTATTTACTAGAAGCAGGACAAAAACATTTCGCAACTCATTGATGGGAAGGGCCAAAGTTAGAAGAAGCCTAGTGGGATGGGATCATAATACAAAGCATATCCAACAATTTTAGCTAAAAGTTCTTACTGCCAGTGATTAAGCCTTGAGAGAAGCATTTCAGCTTTCTAGAACGGAAAAGAAGCCACTAAATGATGGACACTTGAGGAAGGGGTGGAGCCAGGGGAAAGGGATGTGGAGCAAATTGGGAGACACTGGAGGGCTGAACTGGGACTGAAGGGTGACCAAATTTGGTAGATGGGCTGGAGATTTGACAACACTGATATGAACTCAGTGTTGAACTCAGATACATCAACCTGTCAATAGGACAGGACAGGACAGGACAGGACAGATGGTCTTGCCCTTTGCCCTTTGTGTACAACAACAATAAATCTAAACCAAGGTGGGCAGATCTTTTCTCTCTCAGGTGGAAACAATATTGGGATGTCAGCACTAGATATTCTGAATTTGGGGCCTTGGAGGAAGCACACAGGGATAAAAATCATAAAACCATCATGCATTTTTAGCTTAAAATTTTTAGCTTAAAATTTTTAGCTTACCGTCTGGTCCAAAATTATTGGAGGAATTTCAATTATTGCGGCCCGATGATGTGGACAAGGTGCTTGGACGAGTACGTCCCACCACTTGCCTATTGGATCCTTGCCCGTCTTGGTTAATAAATAACTCCAAGCACGGGATTGGGACCTGGATCTTGGAAGTGGTTAATGCTTCTCTGAGGGAGGGTTGAGTGCCTGCCCCTTTAAAGGAGGCGGTAATACGACCGGTCCTGAAGAAAGCGTCACTGGATCCAGAGATGGCCACTAACTATAGACCTGTGGCCAACATCCCGTTTCTGGGCAAGGTGTTGGAGCGAGTGGTGGCGGGACAACTCCAAGCACTCTTGGATGAAACTGATTATCTGGATCTTTTTCAGTCCGGCTTCAGATCCGGGTACAGTACTGAATCTGCCTTGGTCGCCCTGTACGATGACCTGTGCAGGGAGAAGGACAGGGGGAGTGCATCCCTGTTGGTTCTTCTGGACCTCTCGGTGGCTTTCGATACCATCGACCATGGTATCCTTCTGGATAGGCTTGCGGGATTGGGGGTTGGAGGCACTGCTTTGCAGTGGTTCCGCTCCTATCTCAACGGTCGATTCCAGAAGGTAGTGCTGGGGGACCATGTCTCTACGTCATGGCAGCTATGCCATGGAGTACCACAGGGCTCCATTCTATCCCCTCTGCTATTTAACATCTATATGAAACCGCTGGGAGAGGTCATCAGGACGTGTGGGCTGCGGAATCATCAATACGCTGATGATACCCAGCTCTACCTCTCATTTTCCACTAATCCAGGTGAGGCAGTGGCTGTGCTGAACCGGTGCTTGGCCGAGGTAAGGGAATGGATGAGGGCAAATAAACTGAAACTCAACCCAGACAAGACGGAGGTCCTGTTGGTTGGCGGATCGGGTTTCAGAGAGGGTGGATTTGACCTGGTCCTGAATGGTGCAACACTCCCTCTTAGGGATAAGGTCTGCAGCTTAGGAGTACTCCTCGACCCGGAGCTTACTTTGGAAGCTCAGGTGACAGCGGTAGCGAGGAACGCCTTCCTTCAGCTTCGGCTGATTAATCAGCTGCGCCCCTACCTGGAGTACGACTGCCTGGTGACGGTGACACAGGCGCTGGTGACTTCCCGCCTAGACTTCTGTAATGCGCTTTACGTGGGGCTTCCCCTGAAGACGGTCCGAACACTTCAATTGGTGCAAAATAGAGCTGCCAGGTTGCTGACGGGGACGGGGCGTTATGCTCACATGACTCCAGTCCTCCGTCAACTTCACTGGCTTCCCATTGAAGCCCGGGCCCAATTCAAGGTGTTGATTATGACCTATAAAGCCCTAAACGGCTTGGGTCCTGGCTACCTGAACGAGCGCTTATGTCCATATATGCCTGACCGCCCTTTGAGATCTGCGGGAGAGTCCCTTCTCCGGGAACTCTCCATGAAAGAAATTAGGAGAGTAAGTACTCTGAGAAGGGCTTTCTCTGTGGTGGCGCCCAACCTATGGAATTCACTCCCCAAAGAGGTCCGCCTGGCACCGTCATTACTTGTTTTTCGGCGCCAGGTAAAGATCTTTTTATTTAAACATCATTTTAATTGTTAAAACATATGATCTGGCCAGGACAACTTCTTCTTCCTTCTCTTTTCTCCTCCTATATTTTTATTTACTTATTTTATACTGATAATTTTAATTTTATATTTATAACTCAGTGTATTTTTTGTATTTTTGTATTTAATGGTAATTTATTATGTTCTATTGTATTTCAATGTATTTTATTGTGTTGTAAGCTGCCCCGAGGTTTCGGCAAGGGGCGGCATAGAAATGTAATAATAATAATAATAATAATAATAATAATAATAATAATAATAATAATAAATTCAACCACATGAATCATTTTAATTGTTAAAACATATGATCTGGCCAGGACAACTTCTTCTTCCTTCTCTTTCTCCCCCTATATTTTTATTTTATACTGATAATTTTAATTTTATATTTGTAAATCAATGTATTTTTTGTATTTTTATATTTAATGGTAATTTATTATGTACTATTGTATTTCAATGTATTTTATCATGTTGTAAGCCGCCCCGAGGTTTCGGCAAGGGGCGGCATAGAAATGTTATAATAATAATAATAATAATAATAATAATAATAATAATAATAATGAATCCTACATATTGATGATCTAAAGCAAAGGGGATATGCTAGGTATATCCCATTTACTAATCTTATTCCTCTTTGTTATTTAAAAAGACAATAAAATATTGTTTATGCTATGAATCACAGTGAATGAAAAAGACCTATTTATTCATCTCTTTATCAAATGAAAAGCTTGGCATGCACTCTTCTCCAAATAGCCCTCCAGACTTCATTATTCCTGAAGCACCAAGTTTCTCCCGGTTCCCTGTGCTTCTCCCTGCTGTGAGTCCTCTGGCTTTACAGGGTGCTACGGTGATGATTTCCAGAATATTCTCTGCATGTTTCCCAACAAATGTACATTCCAAAAAGTAACATAATACTACCAACCCCCACAAAACTCCAAAAATTTTGGTGCACTTGAAAAAGTGGGGTAGAAGAACTTTTGCTAGCATTTTTGGTTGTGTGGGGAACAGGGAAATAAAGGGAACCCCAAAGAACTCCTTGCTATTCCTAGTCAAGGGTAGACATTTGTGGTTCTCAAGATAATCCTGGACTACTGTCAGCCAGTTAGGAGGGCCAATGGTCAAAGATGATGGCAGCTTTTCTCCAACAACAACTGGAATTCCACAGGTTCTCCACCAAACTATAGGAATGACTCTTGGTCACTAGGAAACTCCTCACTACTGAAATGACTGGGATCACTTCCAGAGTTCAAGCACATATGCTCCACCAGAGGGCCTCATCACCATGTGCTGAGGTTTAATGCTGATACTACAGAATAAGTCACTAAACAAGCCAATTATATTTCATTTTATTTTGCTTTGCTTTTATTTAAGGTTTTATTTAAATTTTAATTCCTTCCATATACAAATATTAAATTATCTTTATTTAAAAAAAGGTTTTCAATTAGTGCTCTTTAGGTATTTCAGTCCACCATGTGAAGAACTTTCCTAAGCTACCAATGATATAGATCTATTAATAAATTAAATCCCAATATTATATTCACTGCCAATAAGATAGGCATTAGAAATAAATACAGTATTTTTAAGCTTCCATTTTTTGTCCATGTACAAAGTGTTAGAATTTTCTTTTGAAGTTGCAGGAGAAAGAAGAGGGGAGCTGTCTAAATTATTATCCTTATCTTGCCATGACAATCCCATTGTCTTCAAGTAATTGCCCAAGTGTAAGAGAATGGAGAGTCCCAAAATCATTAATAGTGACCATATGATCATTTGCATGCATACTAAAAATAGATCCGCTTGAGCCACATGAGACTTGCTTCCAGGTAAACACGCATAGGATTGCAGCACTCTTCAGATTTCCATAATGGAAAGGTGCCACTCAGCATTCACAGTTAACCTGACAGTGTCTTCCTCAAGGCATTTTTCACTTCTTTATTTCTGAGGCAGTAGATTAGAGGGTTCATCAAGGGTACTACCACAGTGTACAGTACTGACACCAGTTTATTAGAGTTGTAGGCATACATGGCTTTGGGTCGTGCGTAAGTGAAGAGTGTGGTGGAATAGAAGAGCACTACCACTGTGAGATGAGAACTGCAAGTGGAGAAGGCCTTCTTTCTGCCTTGAGATGAAGGAATCTTCAGTACTGCTGAGATGATGTAGATGTATGACATCACAACAAAGCACAATGGGACCATGATAACCATAAGAGCCAGGATAAAATCTACCAGCTCAGCCATGGAAGAATCAGTGCATGAGATGTTCAAGAGGGGTGAAATGTCACAGAAGTAGTGATTGACCTGGTCCGTGCCACAGTACTTCAGTTGGCCAATGAAGCTGAGCTTGATAGCAGAGGTGATTAAGCCACATGTCCAGCACCCTGCTGACAGCTGAGCACATAGTGCATTGTTCATGATGGCTGGGTAATGCAGCGGGTAACATATGGCTAAATATCGGTCATAAGCCATGACAGCCAGAAGAATATATTCACTGCACACAAAAGTGACAAAGAAATACAGTTGTGTCAGGCAGCCTTGGAACGAGATACGTTTGTCTTCTGTGAGGAAATCTGCCAGCAGCTTAGGGACAATGACCATGACATACCAGACTTCAAGAAAGGAAAGGTTGCACAAGAAGAAGTACATGGGCTTGTGGAGGTTGCTGTTACACCAAACAGTGATGATGATTATGAGATTTTCCATCAGTGTCACCAAATAAGCAAAGATGAAGAGGACAAAAAGGAGAACCTGAAGCTCTGCAGAGGTGGAGAATCCTAGAAGGATGAAATAGCTGACATTGGTCAGGTTCAGTTCTTCCATTCTTTGAATGCAAGGCACAGCCTGTGGCTTAGAAGGACAAGAAGGAAGGGATGTAATACAGCATCTGTTGACTCGCTATAATTTTTGTCCCACTTTTAAAAAGTGTACGCATAACTGTAATGTAAGACATCTCAATATTTTAATTTAACTTGGGTTTTATTCCTTTAGACTAAAAAGACAAATTCTAAAAAAGTTCTACCCTAATGGTGTATTTTTCATTTATTACTTTTATTATATTTGTCTTTCCACAAAAGAGCTCAGAATAGTGCATATTGTTCTTCTGCATTGAGTCCTAGTGAAATAATGCCACAGTCCCCCCTGAAGTCTGTGGTTTGACTTGAGGACTCAACAGGGGACTCAACAGCCTCAATGAGATTAAATAATGGGATGGGGCTTGAATAAATTTTACTTAATCAAGATAGAAAGAGAATGAGAGAAATATCTGTGCATGGAATTGCTGTCATATACACTGATACCCTAACACTAACCCTTTGAAGTAAGTTCAGATGCAAATAAAATATATATTCTTCATTAGCCTGCAATTGCAATGCAGCTTTGCAAGATGGACTTTTGCATTCAAGATTCCACTCATCTTATGGCCCCATCACAACTTCACATACCTAAGCAATCAAGGAGAATTCCAGAAAATATACTTTTCTTGTTATCCACAGCCAGTGCATATATGTCTAAGATTGCTATCAGTCAATTTTCTCCACAGATTATACTGTTCCTAATCACTTGGTCTTGTCTCAGAGCTAAAATATATTAATTTTTTTTCCTGTTTTGCAGTTATGTAATGAGTGTCTACAGCTGTAGTTCACCAGGGTTTTCTGTTCCAAAATGCCTTTTCTCTTGTATTCTGGACACCTCAGAAAAGTGGTCATGATGGACCAGATCTAGAGGTGATCCTTTACCAAGGGGCTTCCTTACCTTGGTGTAGGTCATTTGGATTCCCATGGAGTCACCCATTTCATCAGTAGAGGCCATTAAATCCTTTTTCCCCTGCAATGCTACCTCAAACAGTGTTCTGGACCACCATCACCCAAAAAAATTGTTGGAATAGATTGGGAATTGGAGCAAGGGGAAAAACTACCTTTTTTGTCCTCATAATAATTCATTGTGGCAGAGTTTTGCTCTGGATTGAAACCAGAAGAAGTATCATTGATAAGTATCAAGACAGTTTTTCTATGGTGTTTGACCAATGTTCAGGAATTTATTGGGATGATTTTTTTTAACTTCTAGATTAGGGGTGTGTGTGTGAAACATGATTGAGGTTTGGATCTTAAACCCCCTACCTATCATTCTAGGATTCTAATCTAAATGCAAGGCACCACACCTACCTTAAAATAGAAGTGTGAGTGCAATGAAGAGAGATGTAACTGCTAGATAATTATTTAAAACAATGTGTGTTTGGCCCAAAGTTACTGCGTGGAAGCTATTGTCATGAATCAGACCTATGATCACGCCAGCATTCTTTTTTGCAGTGTTGTTTCAGTGCATCCATGCACATTCTCAGTGAGAGGAAGAAAGCAAATAGACTAAGAGGGCTAAAAGCTTCAGTAAACTCTCATGTACCATTCTGGAATTAGTTTAGAAATGCACTGGAAGGCAGAGGAGTAAAACACAATACAGAGCAAACCCAATCTGGTAGACCTGGCTAAAGGCTTACATTTATTCTATTGGAGAAATTACAGGGAAGAGTAAAGGAATGACGACGGTGCTGGAGCAACTCCACTAAAAGGAGGGGCTTCAAAATTGGGACTGTTCAACTTAGAAGAAAGGCAAGTGAGGGGGGGCCAGATAGGGGTTGCTAAGATCAGGCACACAGGGGATAAAATGGAGAGGCAGACACTTTTCATCCTCTGCCATTACACTCAACTTGGGGTCAAGCCAGGGACCATGTGGGTGGGATGTTTACAACAGATAAAAGGAAATTCTGGAAATTTAACATTTGTTATCAGACTATGATTTACTGAACCTATTGCCCAATTCACTGTTTCACAGTCTCATTGACTATACTGTGCTTATCCTGTTGCATTTTATATTGCCTTTTTTGTAACATTTAAAAAACATTTAGCTATTATTGTTAGCTGTTTTCAGCTGTATCCTTGTAGTGATTGTTATGTGAGCCACCCAGAGAGCCTTCCGGCCATGGGGTGGCATTCAAGTGCCAGCAATTAACAAACCACTAAAAATATATATATCACGTTCATGGAGTTGAAGCAGGGAATCCACAGATCTCTAACACAATCATAGACTCATAGAATAGTAGAGTTGGAAGGGGCCATGAAGACCACTGAGTCCAACACCTGCTGTTGCAGGACACCAAGTTACACCATCCCACTCAGATAACTGTCCAGTTTCACCTTGAATGTCTCTAGTGTAGGAGAGCCTACCACAAGACAATTGCATGATATTCATTGTGAGGGTATACATAATATGATATAGGAATGATAGGATCCCAGATACAGTTACAGTGGCTTTGTAGTGCTATTATAATTATTGTCATCATCAAAGTTATCATTATCATCTCATACTATAGAGCACTTCTACTGTATCCAGTGTTCCACAGTCTTTAAGCCCTGTTTAGATCTTAGGTTTGACAAGGTATCCCAATGCGTGCAAAGGGCTTGCATTGCTGTTTCCATTCACTCAGTATCTGTTCAGGGGGTTTTCTACATGATCAGGAACCTTATACTGAGACCTGAAGAAATGGACGAAGACACCTCCTCTGGATCTTCCTCAATGCAGGGACTGAGAGTGCGGAGTGGATCTACAGTGAATTTTGAGAGTAGGGTTGGTACATGTGGCTCTGAAGCCCTTGCCTGCATTGATGTACCCTATTTTGAAGTTTTCTGCACAAGTTGGTTCATACATGCACATAGATATCTTGCATGTCTCAGTGAGGGGTAACAAAATCATCACATCACCTCACATCACCTTAAACATCATGATTCCTAATGGAAGATTTTCACCCTTTTGGTTAACAGTGAGAAATCAACTATAATTACCATTTCACAAACAAGAAACAAACAGGAGATGTGTCTAAGCTTATGCAAAAAATCCACAACTGCAGCTTGAGGCAAAGCCAGGTCCAGAACTTACCCACTATTCACAAGATCATACCAACTCTCATATGGATGTTTTCATATGGATCTCTCTGACTTTTATTTACATGGCTTGGAACAATATATAAATGAACACCTGAAAATGCACATACCATCTATTATTCCAAATCTATATTAGGACAGTACCATAATTCAGCAAACTAAAATGCTATAAGTACTATGGAAGCTTTCAATTGCTCTAGAACTCTTTATCAAGCTAGAGGGGGTAACCAACAAGAGGTAAACAATGAAGATACCTTTGCTTGTGTCACAATTGTAAAATGGCAGGCAGTAACAACATTGAAATCAGGGTCTACAAGGCATTGTGATGGTTTAATGTTTTCAGCACCTATGACCTTTTTTAAGGACTGCTGAAAATAAGTCAGTCCTTTTTATATTCAAAATCCCTTTGAATGTTGAATATAACATTCATCTGATACTGGGATCTGCTTCTATCATTATGTGAAACAGATTTTCTAACCTATTGTTCACATTATCTTAGCATCTACCTCTTCTACACATATTTAAGCTGCCTGTAGTTAATTATTGCTAATTGACTAACACACTACACACATATGGCAGAGGGATTCACCATGCATATGCCCACGTAGAAGGTTTCTCAAATGAAGCTTTCTCTTCGAATGAAGCTAGATACATACAGGTTGTGATAGGTTAATTCTTTCATTGCATTTCTGCCTAAGTCCTTATATTTTCATCATTTCTCCTTGGGACTAGGCCTGAATATTTATCTCCCAAGAGTGGTAGCTTCAGAAGAGATCCTTCTTCCCACATCCCAATCATAAACTATTCTCTTAAGAATTCATAACAGCACAGAGGTCACAGCCATAGACAATTGAAAGAATAGGAAGTTAAAAGTGGGTAGCAGAAAATAGAACTCAGATCAAGGAAAGCAAAACTAAACAAAATAAAAATAAATGAAGTGATCTAACTAAAATTAAGCTAATATATTGACTATTTATAAACAACTTCCTGCATTTTCAGGTTTTCACATCTCAAATAAATGGAGAACAATACCCATCCATTCAGATTAAAAAAATGAAATTAGGTACCTTAAAAATGTCCTCAGACATCAAGTTCTACCACCCAAATTATTACTGACAACTCTTTCTGAAATGCTAGAGACTTAACTGTCTGCTTCTTTTCAGCATCACCTGCTCCTCAACCTTGCTTAGTCTCTATTATCTGTTAAATTAGGTTCAGATATTTCTCAACAAGGTTGGTGTCCATCCAGTTCCCAACACTAAAGCATTGCTTCAGAGATTCCTCTCCTACCACAGCACACATACTTCTTCTAACAGAACAATTGACCCTGTTAGAACGTAAGTTATGGTAGCCATAACTTACATCTAAATTGTCAGCTCTGGTTCTACATTTATTTTAAGAATCTAGAGGACTTTTAAAAATTATACATGCTCAGAACTCATGTATAATTATTTCAATTAAGATAAGCATTGCCAACATTATTTGCCCTTAATATTCTTGTTCTTTCTGGAAAGGTGAGGAAAAGCGCAATGCTTGAGTGTACAGTTTAATGTGAGAATAAACCAAAATTAAACAAAATTAATGTATTTATTAATTTTGCTTAAATGCTAGAATATAGCAAGTGTGTGCAACCTGTCAGTTTTGGAATAGGCTAAAACACTGATCTTAAACTGGGTTACACTAAAATAGCTGCAATCACATTAATAGAGAAAGGGGAGGAGTGGACAGGACAGGAAAGGAAACTTGAATTTTCTTCTGTCTATGAATGGACACAACTGATTTTCATTTTTCAATTTTCCAATATTAAATCCAGTTCACCGGCTTTTGGACACACAAAGTTTGCATGAAAATGCAAATGCATCTTTGTGCATATATTTCAGGATTCATGTATTTTTAACTCATGTTTTTCAAATAATGTTGTTTGGACTGGCAGACAAAAATCATGGAATTGTAGAATTCAGACTGTAAGTGCAGTCCTAGTTATGTTTGAACAGAGAAAGGTTTCATAACTCCCAATATTCCTCAGCCAGCCATGTTTTCTTAGGAATGCTGGAAGCTGTAGGGCTTTTTATGTCTCAAAATGCACAGGTTTGGGCCCTAGGTAGTACAAAAAACAAACCCCCAAAAAGCATGCTGACACAGTTGAGGCATGGAATGTTATATCAGGTTTTATTGGCAAGGAATTTCATCCAGCATTTTAATTTTCATATGTATTTGTTGCACAGAACTGTGGAAGAAGAAGAAAGACTTTTCCCAGAGCAACTTGGACTACTCTATTTCTCAAACTGTAAATAAGAGGATTCAGCAACGGTGGTAGTACTGTGTAGAAGAGTGATAGGAATTTATCAGCATCTGGAGTATGGCTTGATGTTGGTGTCAAATAGACAGTTATTCCAGATCCGTAGAACACCGCCACCACCATGAGATGCGAGGAGCATGTTGAGAAAGCTTTGCGTCTTCCTTCCAGTGAGGGCATCTTCAGAATAGTAGTGGCAATGTGCATATAAGACATAAGAATCAAAGCAAACGGGATTACTGCAAGCAATGCCACTTCTACCAGAGCTATCTGTTCATTTATGGATGTGTCTCCACAGACCAGGTGGAGCAAAGCAGGGATGTCACAGAAGAAGTGGTTGATTTCATTGGCATCACAGAAATAGGAGGTAAACACCATGAAAGTCTGGCCAAGCTGTACTGGAATTCCAGTAAGCCATGAAGCTGTGACCAGCCCAGAGCAGACTCTCTTGTTCATGATAAGCATATAATGCAAGGGTCGACAAATGGCAACATAGCGGTCATATGCCATGGCAGCCAAGAGGAAGCACTCTGCTGCTCCTGTGATGAGGAAGACACTCATCTGAAAAGCACAGCCAGTGAATGACATGGTTTTATCCTCTGACAGGAGATTCTGAAGCATCTTGGGGATTATTGTTGACGTATAGCAGACCTCTAGGTATGACAAGTTCCGGAGGAAGAAATACATGGGGTTGTGGAGTGTCTGGTCAGCCATGGTGACAATAATTATGCAGGCATTCCCAATCAGGGTCAGTACAAATGTGGTTAAGAAAGCAGAGAAGAATAAGCCCTCAAGACCTGGGAGACTGGAGAATCCCAGGAGCCAAAAGTTATCTATTGTACTTGTATTTACTCTCATCTGATGGAAGAAGCAACAACAACAAGACACGACACGACATGGAGTCAGTCTATCTTTATCCCAACTCAAGTTTTTGTTTCATGTTAAGCAAGTGCAGTGGAAAATGGATGTATCATATAAACCTATACAAAAGGTAACTTATCTATAGCACATAATCAGTAAACCCATACAGAGTAACAGAAGACTGTTGCCTGCCCCAGAATATTAAACAGAAGAAAAGATGTAAGGATTAATACATACAAATTCCCTTGGGTGTATGTATGCCCGATTTTGGTGTTGGATGAATTTTAAGGAGTTAAGCCAAGTCCTTATAAAAATAGCAGGGTTGGTTGAGGGACACACAGAGGAGAGAACAATTGTGGAGCAGCTGTGATATGAAGCTAGGCTTATCTCCATCATCTTGTACTCAAGGAAAGTTAATTTTTAAAAAGGAAGGTCTCCTTTATACAAGAGATTGTCTTCTTCTGAACATTGTTCCCACAAGTACAAGGTTTTAAGTAAGCAAGCAAGCAAGCAAGCAAGCAAGCAAGCAAGCAAGCAAGCACTTCTTTAGTTATTGCAGGTGGAGAAATGCACCACTGTATATTGTCAATAGGTATGAGACATGTGACATGCATGTGTACATGTGTGTGCTTGTGCCTTCCAGCTGCAGGTTGAGCAAAAGGAAATGGAAAAGAAAAAAAGACATGGTGGCTATCAGTTGGGGCAGCAAGAAGTAATCTCACAGTTGCTACTAAAAATAACAACTTCTAATACTAGCACATAATTTGGCATCTTGGGCTTTTCCCCATTTCTGTACCTGAATTTCAAGCCAAAATTTCTCCAGTGAGAACTGAAATTTGGAACAGAAGTGAATGTGTATAGTGAGAATTTTTCCATGATCGCTTATACTGCTAGAAACTGGGGTCATCCATGAAGCTGATTACTGGGAGATTCAACACAAATAAATTCTTCATAAAAAGGATACTTTCCTATGGAATTCACATCCATGAGCCATAGAACAGGCTGCTAATTGGGATGACTTTAAAAGGGACTCAGGGAAAACAATACTAATGGATACTCAGTGGATACTAATCCTAAGGGCAATATGCTAACTCCAGTACTAGAAACAGTATGTCTAGGTACAGCACTTGCTGGGGAACTTGGGCAGGAGGCTGCTACTGTGTTCATATCTTGCTTGCAGGTTTCCCACATTGTGAACAGAATGTTTGGATTAGATGTAGCTTGATGTAGCTCTTTCTATGTTCTTATTTTCTAAATAATGAGCCCTGTTCAACTCCAATGTCCAAATAAATTTTCACTGGTAATCTTGAGATGCCCTGTGTTTATAATAAGTAAACTGTATTCAAATAAACATAAGAAAGGAAGGACATGTTGTAAGAAGCTACAGAAACAGTGGCAAAAGACAGTGGAGTAGATATGCATATTAAGACCTACTTACCTACATCCCCTTTCTGTTTTTTTATGAAACTTCAGTCTTCACCCAATCTGGCTTCCATAACTGAAATTAAATTAGAAAATTAAAACATTTCTTCCAAGAACTCTATATGATATTGCTTCCAGATGTATTATAGTAAGCTTAAAGTGATAATGCTCAAAGTCACAAATTACATGCAAATTGTTTTTTTGCTGCATTTGCAAAGCCACCATTGTAGTATTCGTATTCTAGCTTTGGAATCAAAGAATGGATGCTTTTGTAGGTCTGTCTGAGATGTGGCTCCTGATTCACAAAATAGCATTCCACAGGGGAATTACATTGCTTCCTGAACTCATAAGAAAACAATGATTCAGCAAGGAACTTAGAGACAATTTGCCTAATAGAAGTATGGCACATTTTTAGAGATGAATTCCCAAACCATTTGCCAGTAGCTTATTTCATAGCAGTTAGTCTGTAATTGTGTCCATCAGTCTCAGTGGTATACATTTACATTTACCCCTTCTGACTAAGCTGAATTGTAACCCAACATCTACTTATTAGCAAGTATGAATGATGGCTTTCAAGGCACTATCCAAGATCATCTGCAGGATGGGAGAAGCACATCAGTGATCTCTGCATATCCACTCCTGAAAATCAGCTTAACCATCAATTTTGGCCATCTAGTTGAAGTGTATCAGAAAGATGGGAAGGAAGCTGGAGCACTACCAAGATAAGACCCATTCTAGTGACTTGGTCTCTTCCCCTCTCTGCTGCCTAAAACATCCATTCACACCTGCAGAAGCAGACTTCCTGCCTTCCCCTCCACTGGCTGGGGGTGTGAGGAAGAGATCCAAGCACAGACCAGCAGGTCTGGGGTCAGAGACTTCTTCCTAACCTCAGAGGTGGGAATCCAAATGCTCTTATGACTCTCTAGATGCTGCTGAGTGGGCATAGAATCACTCTTGCCCAAGAATTATCTAGCATTCCTACCATACCTTTATATACATATTAAGAAGCTTGGGACATTTCACTAACCCAAAGATATACAGTATGTATTCCTTCCTAAACCCAGGATGAATCAGGATTCCCATCTAGGATAGGGAAGGATAAATGGATTAATTTCTTTTATTTCTGGATTAGATTTCTACACTGCCCAACTGGAAAATTACTTTGAGCACAAAACCAAAGAATAGGTAAATAAGAACAATTTGTTACAATGCCAGTAATTTCTTAATATGCAAGTAAAAATAATATAAACAGTAAAGTAATAACAAAATAATAACAACTAATAAAAATAAATAATAACAACTTTGAGGAGATTCTGGAAAATGAAATTAATTAATTAATTCTGGTGTTTAATGTATATAATGAAGGCACCAGGTGACTTTTTCTGAGAAGGGTGCTACATAGCGAGGGGATTGCTACACAGAAGTCTTTTCCCCTGGTAGCCACTTATCAAAGTATTGTGGGCAGCAGCACCAGGGAAGACCCTCCAAAGTCAGTCTTAGCAAAAAGGCAGAATGATATAGGAGAAGGACATCTTTCATTTAGAGTCATCTAAAGTCTTTTAAGGATTTTAAGGAATGCATTGACACCTTGAGGAAGGCCTGGAAGCTGACTATCAAACATTCCCTTTGATGCAGCATTGGAGTAATACTCTGGTTGATATCCTCCATTTCAGTAAGTAACCTTGCCACTCTATCCTGTACTAACTGAAATTTCTGGAGCATCATCAGAGGTAGTTCCATGTACAATGCATTGCGGCAATCCAGAGAGCAGATTGCCAATGGAAAACAGTTGCTAGGCTATCTCTGTCCCCATAGCAGATGTAGCTGATTAAAGGTTCTTCATGTCACCAAAGGCACTTGGGCTTCCAGTGACACAGCTGGATCTATAAGCAGAATCAGATTTTTTTTAAAAAAATCCTAATAAGCAAGCAAACAACAAAACTCAATCAAGCAACAACAATATTAAACTATTAATAATAATGTTAGCTTATTTAATAGTTTTAAATAACTGTTAAATATTATTTATTGTAAAATTAAATATTGTAAAATTGTATATTATATTTATTATATTACAAGAGCTGTTCAATGTATTCTCAGTGTCAGCATGAATAAAAAGGAATAATAAATTGAAATAATTTTTATTTTTCAATGTAATCCGCCATAACTTTAATACACTTATTGCATCTAGAAATTAACTTTTCAATTTGCTGTAAAAAATACCCTTCTTCCTTGTCTAAAAAATGCGAATGAATTGCTGCCTTGAGTTCTTCATCATGGGAAAATTGCTTTCCACAAAGATCTTTTTTTAAATTCGGGAATAGCTAGTAGTCACTGGGGGCCAGGTCTGGGCTATAGGGTGGGTGGTTTATTTCTTCAAAACCACAGTCTCGCACAGCAGCCTTTGAAACACGCACTGTGTGAACGGACGCATTGTCATGAAGAAGCAACACACCTGCAGTCAGTTTTCCCTGCCATTTTTCTTTAATTGCTTCTCTTAAATTATGCAGAGTGGTTGCATATGATGCTGCATTTATGGTTTCGCCTTTTTTTCATGTACTCAATCAATAAAATTCCATTTGAGTCCCAAAACACTGTGGCCATGATTTTTCTGGCCGATGGAGTGACTTTGAATTTCTTTGGAGGGTCAGCACCGTTTTTATGCCACTGCATGGACTCCTGCTTACTTTCAGGGTCATAGTGATGAACGCAAGTTTCATCTCCAGTAACAATCCGGTTGAAAATACTCGATGGATCTTCACCACAGAGCTCTAAAAACTCTGTACAGCACTCGACTCGCACTTGTTTCTGAGGTACCATGAGCATTCGTGGCACCCATCTTGTACAGACCTTTGAAAGGTTAAGATGGTCATGAAAAATAGTAAATATGGTACCAACGGATAGGTTTGTCATCTCTGCCAACATTTTGACTTTTATTCAGGGATCTTCCAATACAAGTTTCTCAATTTTTTTCACATTTTCTTTCGTAGTGGCAGTAACTGGCCCACCTGAGCGAGGGTCATCTTCAGTGCTTTCTCTGCCCATTTTAAATTCACTTTGCCACTTTTGAACAGTAGATAATGAAGGTGCAGAGTCCTGATAAATGGCCACCATCTCTTCGTGAATGATTTTTTTACTTTTTCCTTGTTTTGTAAGGAACTTAATCACAGCACAGTGCTCGATTTTCTTCAACATTGACGCGTCAGTCATCATGGTCGTCTTTCACTGAGGATTACTAGGGAACTAATGATCACAGTTATTTGAAATTTTGCATGTATACCCTCAGAAAGTGTCATTAGCTAATGAAATAATTAAATTACCCACATCAATAGCAAATCAACCCAATACCAAGAATACATTGAACGCCCTCGTATATTGGATGTTCACTTCACAGAGAGTCCATTTGTGACTATTAGATGTGGTTTTAGAAATTGAATAAATAAACAAATAATAAACAAAAATGAAAACCACCCCCCTATAAGAATAGGCTAATTGCTACAAGGTTTTTTTTTTTAAGCACCCATCCTCCAAACTTTTAGCAGACCCAGACCTCTTTAGCATTCAGTTTGCTGCACTGTCTGCTTTCATAAGAACACACCAACACATACAAGAATGTTCTTGTTGTTTATGTCAGGCCATTTCTGACTTCTGGTGACCCTATGAATGAAAGCTCTTGAAAAGAAGAATGCATTCAGTTGAAAGTGTCAATGTTTGAGTAGGAAGTCCTTTGAATATAAACTGTGTTTAACTGGTTTTCCACTGGTTCAGATTCCCAAATAGGTGATTTCCTGATGGGACTCCCTGTAAGAAGAGCAGAGTATATTTTGATTGCAATGCCCATGATATTTCTCCTCTCCCCCCCCCCCCGCCCTTCCTACTATAATTCATTTTGTGAAAGAGTTAAGAAGTTATGGACAAATTCAGCTGAGTTAGGAAGCTCTGAGGAACAAGGCTTGAGAGAATTCCAGTGTTATTTTCTATAAATGTACTATGTCATGACTGTATTTGGCTACATCCACAATGGAGGAAACTGATTCACCTTGACTCTGGACTAGGCAGAGTAAAATGCAGAATATTTTTGAAAGAATGACGAACCAACAAAGAAAATCATGCATGGTTTGAAATTATGTACCTGAAGCTAAACTGTTCATGTCCCTGCTGCTGATTGTAAGTGGTATTCTACTTTCTTCTTCTTTTTCTTGGTGCACTTTTAAGGAAAAACTGTTAAGGGCTTTTTTTCAAATAGAACTTTTGAATGTTCAGACATTCCTATCCATTATATGTTATGAATATATCAAGTTATATTTCCTTGGTGTGTTTTATGTTTCATTCAGTGTGTTTCAGTCATAAGTCCCAAAGAAAAGTTCCTTTGAATGATGTATATTTGGTTTTCTTTTATTCATATATTTCATATATTTGTTTTGAAATGTGATATTTAGTCAAACTGGTGATGCTTCCACATTCCATAGGAATAAAAACAAAGCAAGAACTATTTCTATTCCGTTTGCTTCCATCATATTTTGAATGCAAAACCAAGAAAACCAGCAAATGAATCATCACATCACATTATCTAAGCAAGCTTGAATTGGTTTCTGACCAGTTTACTATGCAGTCTTGTATGTGTCAAATGGGAAATAGACCACTTGATCTCCAGTGGGACTTATTTCCAAGTATAAGATTGACCATGCAGGATTAAATTCTCAATTATTTGACAGTTAATAAGATGAATTCAGTCTAGGTTATGTGGACTTTGAAATCAATAGAAAATAACACGAAAATTGAAATCAGCAGGAAAATTAGTCATGGCTAATCTGAGTCTCATTGATTTCATTGAGAAGTGTGCAGTTTAAGTATTCTGGATTAAACCCAATATATTCTAGATAATATTTTGCTTGTATTGCCAACGTGATTTTTTTAAAAAGGGGATTGGCATGCTATTTGCAAATTAGTGTCTTACTAACTGGCATTCTCATCTTGAAAAGTCCAAGTGATAAACCTGCATGTATGTAATGCACTGTGCACCATCCTTCAGGTTTTTATTGTTACTAGGAAGTCTATGGCTATAAGTGTCAGTGGTGTAAAACCTTGACTCTTGCCTTATTACACTTCCACACCACCTAATTGTTGAAGCTCTGACACTTCTAACAAAAATGGAGTGGTACAGGTGAAGCTCTGACACTTCTAACAAAAATGGAGTGGTACAGGCATACACAGTAAGGATTTTTTTAATCAACATATTCACACTTTCTCCAAAGACCCTGCAATTACAGCTTTACTGATTATGGGGAAGAAAAATTCTTCCTGTTTCCAAGAAAATGCAAATTTACCTGATGTCATGCTTCTGAATTTATATGCAAATTGATGTGCATTCATTTAAAATTCATACTCCTTTCAATTAACCAATCAAAACATACTGAAAAGCATTCAAGGATGGTCCTCAAAGTGATACTCAACAAAGGGGAAAGGGAAATTCTGGGTATATTGGTCAGTTCCTTTGACCTGGCACAAAGTTCTGCTACAAATTACTAGTCCCCATCTGCAACTCTCTGTAGTACCCTCCAAAGGGAGATCTGGATGTCCCGTTTTGAAAGCAAGCTGTTGATAGGGAGATATCAGCAACCCTCCTTTCATGGGTTTTCTACTTTTGCATCACAATTTTCATTAGTGGGTCTCCTTTCTATTCAGACTCAGATGGAACAGTAGAGTTCTCCTTGAGATAGGAGACAACTCTATCCATGTAAAAAGTTGAGTCTACATTGAAATTTCTCATTCTTTCCTCCCTTTCAGGAAAGCTGATCCTACTCTCAAGCTCCTGCTGCTTCAGGGCTAGAGGGTGGGGATGCCGGAAGAATTCATAGTGGATCTGGTCACTTTATCTGTTGTCTCTTTAGAGGGTTAAGGAGCTCTCCTTCAATCCCCTCCCCACTCTGTTCAGACATGTCACTTTCCTTTCCCAGGGAGGCTGGTTCTCAATCTCTGCCTAAGAATACTCATGAGATAACCTTGAACCAGTCAACTCATTAGCATCTCTTCACCTCTCTACCTCAATTTCAGAAGTGAATGAATCTTTCCAAGCAAACTGTAGCATGTTAGAACTGGGTCACTACAAGGATATTTGTACAGGAGGCTTTTAACCTACAAGAAAGGTGCAAGAAAGATTGATGCCTCTTATAGAGAAGCCCTCTGTATTTTTTGAGCAATATGGCACTCCAATGTGGTTGCCTTCAGTCTTTCATTAGTATTACGATCAGATATCTTCTGTCCATTAAACTGTTGATTTGTTTTAGCAGAATTCCATTCACTGACTAAAAATTACCATGGTGTTGTTTTCTCTTAATCTTACAGGTATATATATATATGAGGCATGGGTCTGGAAAACCAGACCAGAATTTGGAGCTTTATTCTTCTGGGTTTTCCAACTGTCAAGGAACTTCAGATCCTGCTTTTTATGCTATTTCTTGGTGTCTACATCCTGACACTGCTTGAGAACATTGCAATCATCAGCCTAATCAGAACAAACAGCCATCTCCAGAAACCCATGTACTTTTTCCTTAGTCACCTCTCTTTCCTGGAGACCTGGTATATTTCTGTGACTGTTCCCAAGCTTCTGGTTAACTTCCTAGCAGAAGACAAAAGTATTTCCTATGAAGGCTGCATGGCCCAGCTCTACTTCTTCATTTCCCTGGCCTGCACAGAATGTGTACTTTTGGCTGTCATGGCTTATGATCGTTATGCTGCCATTTGCAACCCACTACGCTACCCAGTCATCATGACTTCCCAGCTCTGCTTGCAGCTAGCAGTGGGGTCTTGGTTTTGTGGTTTCCTAATCTCATTGCTCAAGGTCTTTTTCATTTCTCACTTGAGTTTCTGTGGCCAGAACATCATCAACCATTTCTTCTGTGACATCTCACCTTTGCTCAACCTCTCCTGCACAGATCGAACAGAGGCTGAGATGGTGGACTTTGTATTTGCCCTCATTATCCTTGTCATTCCTCTAATGGTCACTATTGGCTCCTATGTGTGCATAATAAATACCGTCTTACATATCCCCACAGCCCAGGGAAAAAGGAAAGCCTTTTCCACCTGTGCTTCTCACCTCACTGTGGTTATGATCTTCTACTCAGCTACCCTCTTCATGTATGCTCGACCACAGAGAATCCATTCTTTTGATCTTAATAAGCTTGTGTCCATTGTGTATACTATTATTACCCCCATGTTGAATCCCTGTATTTACTGTCTAAGGAATCAAGATGTCAAGGATGCCCTGAAAAAGATGTTTTGTAGTCGGAATGCTGAAAACACAATTAACTCTAGTGACCATTAGCCTAATTCTGGGCAGATACGTGGATCTCCTTGTGGAAAATTAGTAATGGTGTCTTCCTAAGTCATCCAAGTTAACTTGTCTCACCTCTTCTTTTCTGTCTGTTTCCAGAAAGTAGGGCAGGGGGGAGAGAAGTTAGTGCACTGACAGGCTGCTTTCATTTCAACATATGCTCATGAACAAAATCAGATTTTTAAAATCCAGAAACTGTTCTACTCTCTAATTTGCATTAACACATGAATGAGGTGCAAATTAAAGTAAGTGTGAATTTACACAAATGCCAATGTAGCACAACACTAGTGTTGGACTGGGGCTTGAGAGTTCACTTTCAGCCAGCCATGGATTCGCAACCTAGCTACTCAGAGAGCTGTTGTGAAGCTACGATGGGAAAAGTAGGAAGAGAAAGAACATGTAAGCCACATGGAGTTCCTTGCAGGAAAAAAAGTGGAGGAAAAAACAGAATTAAAATATAATGGCTGAATTAATAAATACATCGTGTTCATAATGGTTAATACAAATTAGCACTGATGCGAATCAGCATAAATATCTACCAAAAGTGAAAAATCAGGTTATTTGTCTGGGAAAGCTGCAAGACTGGGAAGAATCTGCTAGATCCATTAACAGAAATATAAACTCATTTGAATTCATTATGGGTTTCTCTTAGGCTGAGAGACAATGAGCTGCCCATGGCCATCGCCAGTCGACTTCATCACCAAGCAGGGATTTGAACTTGTGTTTTCCTGCATTAATGCCAACTGCTCTAGCCATGGTGGAAGGCCCTTTTAGAGGGAGGAAACCTTGCAACACACCACACACCCCCTAAGCCACCTATGAATCAAAAGATGCTCATTGAAGGGAGCAAGACCAATGAAAGGAAATAGTATGGCCTTCCTTGTCCAGCTAAAGAAGGTTGTAGATCTGGAGGGGAGTGGGGCTGTTCTTGTCTTGAATTATTGCTTATTTAGGGTAATTCTGGTTGCTCTCTGTGTAAACAGATGAAGGATCGAATGTCCTTTGATCTGATCCAGCATGAATTTTCTTATGTTCTTATACTGTATCTTGATTCCCTTGGGTTATCCACATGCTGCCCTTTAGGCCAAATGCCTCCTTAACTTCTGAAACTGTTTCCAAAGTTCTGACACTGTGGATGGGCACTGGTATGTTTTTTATGTATATTCATGCTTCAGGGGAGTGTAAATTGTCATAATACCATGCATACAAATCTTATGATCTGCAAATCTCGAATAGTAAAACATTATTTTGAATTATAATTTTGCCAGCTGAACATTCATGGGCATTCTGCCAGCCAGTCCCCAAGCACAGAAAGTAAACTTTTCAGTCCCCTGACAATTTTTATGGCATTTGAATTATAAGTTCAGCCATTCAGGCCGATGCACTGTTGCTTTGAAAATGTTGACAATCCCTGATAGATCTTTGGGATTCTCAGTAAAGATTCTGACCTAAATAACCAGCTTGCTATCAGATGCAGTTCCAAGCTTGGAAAGTAAAAAAGAACTTTTAGTTTTAAGCTCCATGGCTTTTTTACACCACACAGGAATTTGACTGGTTCAAAAATTAATGTAGTATTATTAGACAATGTGAAATGTTCATTGGAAGTTTTTGCTAGAAATTATTCTGCAACTCAGGTAATGGGTATGTTTGATTTTGAAGGTACATTTGCTTGCTTTTCTACTTTTGTTTATTCTATTTTGGAAAAGGAAAAATGTGATATTGGATTATATTTGGTACTAAATATGTTTGTCAAGGGAAGTAAAAAGTGAGAAGGAAGGAAGGAAGGAAGGAAGGAAGGAAGGAAGGAAGGAAGTTGGTTTAATTCATGATGAAATGGGATCTATGCTGACTTCAACTGAGTAGAACAGATTGTTAGTGCCTATACAATGGTTTTTGCATGTCCAGTGACACTTTAAGCATAAATAAATAGATAAATTCTAAAACTGCAGCTACCCTGCATTCCATTGCAGCTTGTCTTTAGAAAAATCAGGGGTATATTGCGCAATTGTGCACAAATCCACGTAGAGGTAAGACCCACTGAAATAAATGAATTTTTACTCTCAGGTAAGTGAAAAAGATTGTTGCCTTGTAAGGCTTCCAGTGAGGTGCAGCCTGCAATGCTACCATTTTCAGATTATCTAGGCTGATATTTTACTCTGGGTTGGGATATCTGCTTGAAACATCAGTAGATCTCCTCAAATGCAATGACTTCACTTTGTAGCATGCTACAGAAATGAGGTAAATGGTGCTCTATGAGATGTAGCAGAGTTACTGTTTATCTGGAAGAAGTACCCATGAAAACCAGTGTAGGAGGGATGGTGTAGCTTCAGGTTTCAGAAGACCTGTTTTTCAACTGCTTCCATAAATATTCTACAGTGCACTCCTGTGTGTATGTATTCAAAAGTAAGCTGCATTGCATTTACTTTCAGGTAAGTATTTTTAAGTTTCAAGTCTCACTGTATTTCAACTTCAGTAAATCTGGCAGAAAATCCTCTCCATTACATTGGTAAAATGTTTTTAGTTAGAAATAAGTATGCAACTGAGAATCAGCAGTGTGAGAACACAGATTTCACATTCAGTGAAGATGTACATGCTATAAAATGCATGGTCCAGCTTTTAATGGCATTCTAGAATACATTTTTATTAAAAAAATAGAACTGGACAAGGGCTGGCAACTTCAATGTGGAAGGTGTGTACCATAATAGGAGTAGTAGTAGTACTAGTAATTACTAGTCCTGAGAAAGATTATTTACTAAGATCATCAATTCTTAAGCTGCAATTCTTCACATGTTTACCTGGAAGTACATCCAGTTAACTCAATGTGACTGAATTCAAAGCAGAAATGCAGAGGATTTCAGTGATCCAAAGTCCTTGAACCCTTGTTAAATTAAAGGGTGGCATACAAGAAATGGGATAATAGTCTTACATTTTCTTCCTTCAGAATTGCCATGTGATTTTATATTTCTATGGCCAGAGACTTGGACCATTCATCTGAGAGTGGAGATTGAACATCAAAAATTTAGCCCAAAGTGCACAAATGTGAAACATCTTATTTCTACTTCAGCCTCAGTTTCTCAGATCATTTCACTCCTCACAACATGCCTTGTGTGTGGTCATGGTGAAAGCAGAGATAGGCGCTTTCTCATTAAAGAGGCAGAACTCTTTGCATGTCTTAAGCTATACAAGTAACCAAAATGCCAATATCCTGGTGGTAGTTACATGGCACAACCAGTCCAGAAGAGCTAGTTAAGGCAATTTGGTACATAAAATCTCAGAAAAGAGGATGAGCACAGTTGTTTTTCAGCATGTCAGAATACTGATTTATATCAAAATAAAGAATCCTAGAAGGTATGGGAACCATTTAGAATATTGATTCCTCAGAATTCTATCATTTTAATTTGAGATAGTCCATCAGTACAGAAGCTTCTTATATGCCACTAGAACTTCCATCAGATTTCAAAGCTGGCTCTGGACTTTCTGGACAGCAGCTACAGGGTACCAGTGGTTTTTTGAGCATGCATATGTACAAAACAGAAAAAAAAAAAAAGAAATAGTGAACATTATTTTCTGTAAAATTTCATTCATTGTTCAAGGCAACCTTATGCATATTTAGACAGAAAAAGTTGTACTCCTCCCAAGCATAGCTGTCTAGGAAAAACTACCTATTTGCAGGATTCCTTCCTTCCTTCCTTCCTTCCTTCCTTCCTTCCTTCCTTCCTTCCATCCAGCATGTAGAGTGCAATATTCATTTGAGAATTGCACCCACATTTTAAAACCTGTATTTACCATGAAGTAAAGTTTCTTAGTATTCCTCCGAAATAATAGTTGACAACATTTTAAAGCATGCAAATTACTAAACAAGGCTGACTGGCGAATACTGAGTTATAGAATATTTTTGCCTCAATATTCATGACTCATAATATTTTTGTGGAATATGAATTCTAAAACAAGAACAAAAAAAAAAGGTTCAAATTGGTGAATACTTTTGTAACCCATTACAAGTAGGTACTGAGAAGTTTAGGAAGTTTATGCAAGCTATTAAATATCCTGCGGTAGAGTGCAGTCCATTCAATTGAAATAGGTCTGGCATTCATTAATTTTTATCTATGCTTATTTTTTCATGTATTTTTATACACTTCCTTTTAATCCAAGTTAGATTTGATTTTGTTTTGTTACTTTGCTAGTTTATTTGTTTTGAGAGGTGGATAAATTATGATTGTAAGAGGTAAATTGATTGACTGACAAATTGCATTCTCTCCAAATTGCCATATGTAACTTGATGGAAAAGCAGTCATGGAATTAAAGGTAAATGTGCCACTGTGCTATATGATCCTTTAAAAATCCAATATTCTTTTGATATGTAGGAACCAGAGCCTTGGCAAATCACTCTTACTGAACTACAAAGCTTTAGAGTAAAATACATGAATATGGACTAAACAAAACAGAGATGCCTTCCATGAACTTTGAAGAGAGCAAGATGCATCACATGGAGCTTATGTAGATGGCAATTGATCATTTCCTGTTTTTGATGTTTTAAATCTTTCCCTTTTATTAATTTTATATATGCAAAATTTGTTGCCATTTCCAAGCAGAATATCATCGCCCTTTTTTCCTTCCTCACATGCAACACACTTTCTTCCATTACTGCAGGTCTATGGATCATAAGAATAAGACTCACATTGAGGAATTCATTCTACTTGGATTTCCAACCACCATGGAACTGCAGGTGCTTCTGTTCGCGATATTCCTTACGGTCTATATCCTGACACTGCTGGAAAATATAGTTATCATTGTTGTGATCAAAAACCACCCTCAGCTTAATAAACCCATGTATTTCTTCCTCACCAATCTTTCCTTTTTGGAGACATGGTACATTAATGTTATTGTTCCAAAGCTATTGGCCAACATCCTAGTGGAAGACAGGACCATTACATTTGAAGGATGCATGGCACAGCTCTACTTCTTTAGCTCCCTCCTATGTACAGAGTGTGTTCTTCTGGCAGTGATGGCATATGACCGATACGTAGCCATCTGCAACCCACTGCACTATTCAACCATCATGACCCAACACCTCTGCATGAAGTTAGCTGGGGGTTCCTGGCTAACTGGCTTCTTGGCTTCAATGCTAAAGGTTGTCTTCATATCTAGACTGCCCTTCTGTGGCCCCAAAGTCATCAACCACTTCTTTTGTGATATTTCACCTTTGCTAAATATGTCTTGTGAAGATATGACAGTTGCCGAAATAGTGGATTTCATCTTGGCCTTGATAATTCTGTTGATCCCACTCTCAGTTACTATAATATCGTATGTCTATATTATTGGAACCATTTTGCGTATTCCTACTGCCCAGAGCCAGAAGAAAGCCTTCTCCACTTGTACTGCTCATCTCACTGTGGTCACCATTTTCTTCTCAGCCACTCTCTTTATGTATGCACAACCAAAGAGGATCCACCCTTTCAACCTTAACAAATTGGTTTCTGTTATGTACACTATTGTCACACCAGTGCTGAACCCTTTCATTTACTGTTTGAGAAACCAAGAGTTTAAGGGTGCTCTAAAGAAAGCTTTCTCTAACATCAGTTTTCATCCCTCAAAACTCAGTTTGGCTCGCTAATGGGGGGGGGGGAGTCAGATGATTTCTTCTGAGAAATAATGTTTTCAATGTTTTATTTAATTCATGGGAAGGTGTGTATATGTGTTTGCTAAGTGTGTAAAGTGATTTTGTTGCCTCCTGTGAAACAGAAAATTTCATTCTTTAGCCAAAGTTCACAGTATCCAAACCCAGCCAAGTAATTTTTGAACCTGAAACAAAATGTCCAGAAATGCCTTTCCTTCTCCTTGTAAGTGAAGCAAAACCAACAGAAGCATAATAGTTACCAGTTGGTTTCCCTTTCATCACAATCAACATTACTTGTCTGAGATTATTACCTCACTTAACTCAATGATAAGACCAGACCAATCAAAGAAGTTTCCCTCATGTCACCAAGTGCCAGGTTGGTCTCTCATCAAAGCTCAGGGTAGACCTCTTCTATGAAGGAGGATCCAATCCTCCAGCAGAGCCCTCTTCTACAGTAGTGGTGGGGCAACCTGATGGGAGTTTGATAGCATCACCTGATTTGAGGCTCCTAAGAATATTTTCAGCCCCATCCTGTTTCCAGACATGATTCACCAGATTACTACAAGTGATGAACCTGGTGAGACACTAAGACCAAGTACTGTAATGCTCACTTAGTTGGCAGAGGACCTTTTTGCTCCAGGTGTACTCAAAAAAGTAAGAGTCTATTCATAAGGAGGATGATCCAGTTGTGACTGCTAATGAGGCAGGCTCAATTGCAACTGCTGAACAAGGGTCAGCAAGCATATAAACTCTCTCTTTCTTAGACCATTTAAATAAAGGTATCTTTTTCTCATATCTTGTTTCAATCCCAGATATATTTTAGGAAAGAATGTTAGGAAATTTGTTTGTTTGTTTGTTTGTTTGTTTGTTTGTTTGTTTAAAGCTTTTCTAACTCATCCACTACAAACATCTCAGGATGGCTTACAATATTTCAGAATATTGTCTAATGTAAACTTGGGATTTTGATAAATCTATTTCAACCGAGATTGATTTCCTAGCACTTTAAAAAATGTGAATGGATTAGTATGGATGGCTGCAGACTGAGAATCCAATCCTATGCACATTTACCAGGAAGATTAAATCCCACTAAACTCATAAGCAAGGATTACTCTGTTAGTCGTGCTTTGCTGGCTGGTTTAACCTCCAGTGATTTTGGAATGACTCAGGGAAGACTGACATAGCCTGGTTCCAATGAAGTTCATTCTGCAATCAGGGTGTATCGGTGGACTAGAAGATCTGGCCAGATTATACATGGTACGTGGTAAACTGAGGGGGACAGGAAGCAATTCAACAAGCAAATGATGAGCAGGTAAGAGAACTGGGAGAATAGAAGTTACAGCAGAGGTTGGACAGGCAAGAAGCCACACCAGCAAACTGACCCCTGATTAGCTGGTCTTATTACCCAGCTAGACTAGACTGGTCTGGGAGCAGACTATTTAGCTGTTTGAACATACTGAAATGCAATACCATATCTCAAAATCATGGAAGTGAGATAATGGAATTTGGATTTCAAATAACTCTCTCCATTACTGGCTGAAAAACCACATCCAGAATGTGCCCTGCTACATCCATGTTGGGACAGCCCTGTGATTGTTCTGGAGTCTATGAAACCCTTAGCCACTCTAAATAAATTGCCCTTGGCATGAATGATACCATCCCCCAGGACCAGTAACCTGGAGAACCTTGAGATCACAACCAAGACAACCCATGCCTGCTCAGATGGGTTCAATGTTGGGGCACAGAACCCCAATTATCCTGCTGGACCAACACAAGACACAAACACTCTAGACTAGGAGTCAGTTGGTTGGTGGGGAGGTGGGGGAGAAAAAGAGTTCCTATTGACCATGGCCACTCCTCAGTCCTGGCCTTCCAGTGTTCCTTGATGCTGTACCAAGTACCATGGTGGGAAAAGCTGGGAGAGGCTGATGTGGAGTAAAGGAGATAATATTAATCCTTCATTCACTGTTCCGTGGCCTTCATTGGATCAGTACTACCTGCATCAACACATAGAAGACAATCTCCGTGGTTTGAGATCACAGCTACTGGTAAAATGCATGTGTAAAACAGCATAGATTCAGCATTGCAATGGCAGGATCCAGCCCCATGTGTCTGCATGTAGGAAGGGAATCTATGCCTAAACATACCTTCAACTGTAGGTTAGAATTTGGAATATGCCTCTGGTGATCTATAAACTTCCACACATACTCGTTTACCAAGATAGAATTTCGGTAAGATGCCAATCTGTGTTTGCATCCACAATATGCTGAATGGGACTGTGCACCTTATGAAATAAACATGTAATGTGAATGAGCTAAACTCACATATAGGAAAAGATATCATAAAACAAGCCATTTTATTTATTTATTTATTTCTTACTTACTTACTTACTTAAAGCTTTTGTAGACTGCCCATCTACTGGTGTCTCAGTACACTTTACAACAAGCAACAGATAAAATGGCAAATAAAATGGCACAGCAGCCAGTAATTCAATAATATAACATCCACATTAAAACCAATTAAACATTAAAATAACAGAAAAATAAGGAGGCTTTCACCTGGCACTGAAAAGAAAAATGCATTGGCACCAGGCAAACCTCTCTGGGGAGCATATTCCACCACGGCAGAGAAGGTCCTCCTCTGAGTAACCATCCTCCTAATCTCTTTCAAGGAGGGTTCCAACAGAAGTGCCTTCCCTGCAGATCTCAAGTGGCAGGAAGGGAAGGAGCTGCTCCTTCAGGTATCTAGGACCCAAGCTGTTTAGGACTTTATAGGTCATCACCAGCACCTTAAATTGGGCCCGGACTTCAATTGGCAGCCAGTGTAAGTGGCAAAGGACCGGTGTTATATGTGAATACCTGCCAGTCCCCCTTAACATCCTGACAGCTCTATTCCGAACCAATTGAAGTGTCCGGACCATCTTCAAGGGCAGTCCCATGTAGAGCATATTACAACAATCCAGCTGGGAAGTTGCCAGGGTGTGGGTCACCATTGCAGTAAGTTTTGCAATAAGTTCATTGATTTCTGATGACAGCAAGACGCAGGGCAGAGATTGCAGACATTATGCTCACATCTTGCTGAAAGACACAGCAGGCTTTTGACTTTTCTGCTAAGTTTCATATGGACATGAGAAGGGTGTGGATACTTGTTAGCAGAACATTGGCATTCAAGTATTCATAGTGGCATGATGAAGAGGAGTTAGATGCATTTGAAAACTGTAAGCATAAGAGATAACATATATGAGATACATGCTGAAGAATTTTCTTTTTTTTCCTTTTCCAAATATGGGGCTACAGTGGTTACTTCTCAGAAATTACCTGCATAATATTTTATTTATTTATTTGTTTGTTTATTTTCCGATTTATATCCTGCCTTTTTCCTACAAAGGACTCAAGGCAGCTTACATCTCCTCCTCCATCTTATCCCCACAACAACAACCATGTGAGGTAGGTTGGGCTGAGAGTCTGTGACTGGCCCAAAGTCACCCAGTTGGCTCCATGGCTGAGCAGGGACTAGAACCCAGATCGTCTGAGTCTCAGTCCCATGCTCTTAACCACTACACCATACTGGCTCTCAGTGTGGAATATGACCAGTCCTGCTCGTTGTAATCTGCTTGGTTACCTGCAGTTAATTTTATTTTGTTTACATATTCTTATTTTGTGTGTGTGCATGCACACACACTTAATCATTGGAATTCCATCATCCTATCATGTTTTTGGGCATACATTTTCAGATGTCACATTTGTTTGTATCTGAGGATGCTTATGTATCCAGATCAATCCAGACAAGACGGAGGTCCTGTTGGTGGGTGGTTCGGGCCTCAGGATGGGGGACTTGGGCCTTGTCCTAAATGGGGTTGCACTCCCTCTGAGGGAAAAGGTTCACAGCTTAGGAGTGCTCCTCGACCCTGAGCTGTCTCTAGAAGCTCAGGTGACGGCGGTAGCGAGGAGCACTTTCCTTCAGCTTCGGCTGATCCATCAACTGCGTCGCTTCCTAGAGAACGACTGCCTGGCGACACATGTGTTGGTAACTTCCCAATTAGATTTCTGTAATGCGCTCTACGTGGGGCTACCCTTGAAGACGGTCCGGATACTTCAGTTGGTGCAGAATAGAGCTGCCAGGCTGCTGACGGGGACTGGGCGTTGTTCTCATATAACCCCAGTTCTCCGTCAGCTCCACTGGCTCCCGATTGAAGTCCGGGCCCAATTCAAGGTGTTGGTTATGACCTATAAAGCCCTCAACGCCTTGGGTCCTGGGTATCTAAAGGAACGCTTGCATCCATATATGCCCTCCCACCCCTTGAGATCAGCAACAGATGCCCTTCTCCGGGAACCCTCCGTGAATGATATTAGGTGGGTGAGTACCTGGAGGAGGGCTTTCTCTGTGGTGGCGCCCCATCTATGGAATGCGCTCCCCATAGAGGTCCGCCTGGCACTGTCGTTATTTGTTTTTCAGCACCAGGCTAAGACCTTTTTATTTAAAACTTTTTTTAAGTGTTAATTTATTGATATTTATAGGATTTTAAATCTTTTAAGCCGAGATGCACCAGATTTTAATATTTTTGTTATAATTGTTATATCTGTATATTTCGTTTTTGCTGTGAGCCGCCCCAAGGCTTTGTTGCGATTGGGGCAGCATAAAAATGTTTTAAATAAATAAATAAATAAATAAATAAATAAATAAATACGTACCACCTCCAGCTTCACCCAGCCCTCACTCTGCACCATCATTCTGAACAATGATATGTGGGACAGCAGGGAGAAAAAAAGCTTCAGTGCACTCAGTTCTAGCTTTAGAAAAAAAGTAGCAATTCAACTATGTATTGTCTTTTTCATCTCTAGAAAATGGGTTGATAAAACCAGAAATGAGTATCATGGCTTAGGATGCATTCCCCCCTCAAACATCCTAAAAATGAATATTCAAATGTTAAGAATATGGACTTCTTTCAAACATGAACCACAAATGTATGCTTTCCATGCGTAGGCTAAAATATTGAAAAGGGCGTGTGGTGGATGTGTGCATTTTTGGAAATGCGCTCTCTGCAGGTGTGCAGTTTTACATGAGAACTCAATATCAGGAAATAGCAATTTTCTTCTGAGCATTACATTCCTGATTATGTCAACAAACAAGATTCTGAAAACTATATTTTCACAAGATTTTTCAACAGGAAGTAAAGTCTTACACACCTCTAAGCAAAGTCACACGTTATCATTCTTTAATTTTGTGTACATCATATTAAGAACTGCCCTCTTCACTTCTTGGTTACGGAGACTATAGATAATGGGGTTTAACATTGGTGTCACAATGAAATAAACAATAGACGGTGCCATTTCCTGATTAGGTGACTCCTTGGAAGAGGGCTTCAGGTACCTAAAGAAAATAGTTCCATAATACAGCACCACAATGGTCACATGTGATGTGCAAGTGGAGAAGGCTTTGTATTTCCCTTCCCTTAACTGGATCCTTAAGATAGCATGGATGATGTGAACATACGAAGCCAATGTAATCAGAAGAGCCCCCATCCCTAACAGTGAGCCAAGGGTGAAAATCACCATTTGGTTTCTCAGCGTGTTACTGCAGGATAGTTGAAACAGTTGAGGGGCCTCACAGCTGAAGTGATGGATCACATTGGGCCCACAGAAATGCAAAGCTGTCAGCAGAAGAGTATTGAGCAGTGCATAGAGAAAGCCAGTGAATAAGGCACTATACACCAGCAAAGCGCAAGCCTGTTTGCTCATGATCACCATGTAATGCAAGGGGTGGCAGATAGCTGTGTAGCGGTCATATGCCATCACAGAAAGGAGAAGACCCTCTCCCACGGAAAGGCACATGACAAAGAAGACCTGGGTAAAACAGCTCTGCACTGAAATCCCCTTTCTCTCCATCAGGAAGTTTTCTAGCATTTTAGGAAGAGTGACGGAGGAAAATGCTATATCTAGGAAAGCTAAATGAGAAAGGAAAACATACATGGGAATGTGAAGGTGAGGGTCAACTCTTATAGCCAAAATGAGAATCGTATTGCCAAACAGGGTTATTAGATAAATCAGCAGGAAGATTATAAAGAGCACAGGCTGGATCCAGGGGTCACTGGACAACCCTAAGAGGATGAACTGTGTCACTTCAGTTTCATTCTCCATTGCTGCACATCTGTCTCTCCCAAAGGAAACTGAAAGCTGAAACCAGAGGAAAGTGAAAGTTGTTTTCCATGCATGGGACTTTGATGCAATTTAGCCATGAAATTTGTATATACTGTATGTTGTATGAGAGGAAGCAAATTTTGTTCAGCACGAGCAAGCCCAGAACGATCCACATCAATCTATATTTATGGGTGGTTCCTAACCAGTAACAAGGTTGAAGATCTTGGTGAATGGCTTCATTTATTGTAAACCATCCTGAGGCATTTGTAGGGGACAGAATAGAAAAGCTTTTAGTACAATAAATAAAATAAAAAAATAAAGTGCTCCCCTACTCTAGTGTAAGGCAACTGAGAAAATGTTAAAATCCACACTTAAGATTAGCAGATCTTTGATTATTCTTGCAATCCTTTATGCAAATTGCAGAATACACTTGTATCTTTGATGCAATTGAGATCAAATTCCCTCCAGCTACTGAAGGTATCTAAACTGGCACAGACTTAGTGTTGGTTCATGGACTGCTTGAGATCCCGATGGGGCTATAGTGTGTTGTATAAGTGGAATCAGCCAGTGCTATAAGGAAATGGGTGCCTCCTAAGTGTGGCTCTTACTCCTCTATCAGGCACAAGGGGGATTTATAAAATGAAGGCTTTACAAAAGGAAGTTTGATAAAATAATACAATGGAACATATATTACATTAAGTAATACTGATAAAATAATGCAATATACAATGAGGAAAGTGAATACAATACATAGAAGGAGAAAGAAACACACACGTCACTCCTCCTGTCCCATTTTCATCCAGTAAAATTGATTGGCCGTAGATTCAGCCCAAGGAAGTGAATGTGTGTTTTGTCTTGTTTTAATTGCCATAAAACATAGTGATGGCCAAGACAAGACAAGTTTTAAATGGGAATTTCACAGAGTAAGTGAAGGAAAGGCTATTAGTCCTGATGGTTAAATGTCCAGAAGCAATTTGCCAACGAATTGCCTCTTGGTCTGGAGTAATGATGGGGGAGGAGCTGCTTCCTTCAAGCCCTTTGGTAAGGGTTGAATACATTCAGTTTAAGTCATTGCCTCTGAAATGCCACTCCATCCCACTGCCAAATGTTAGGACTCTCTAAGTTCTGGTGAATTCAAAATGACTAAATGTTTGGGCTGAAATTATCTAGCAATTCTGCCTGCTCAATTTATGGCAGTGAATCAGAGGCTTTTATCAGAGTGAGGCAGAATATCATGTGTGCCTGGGGAACTGCTGTTCTCATCGTGGCACCAATTCTTTTTCTCTCTATTTCTTTCCATTAATTCTGCTCTTTGTCTAGTAACTCTGATATCCTTTAGGTTTTTGTTTGATTGATTTTGCTTTTGTTTTACATACCTTGTCATTTCCAACTTACCAAACAACAACAATCACAACCACCCCCTTACTTTAGAGGATGCTTCAGAGATGGATGGTTGTTTCCATCAACTGGGTGACCGTTCAGTAAGATTGTGCCTTATTATTTCTTCCCATCCATTTTGTCTTCAGTATGATACGTGGTCATTCCTCTTGTTATTTCTTCCAAGAAATAGGCTGTTTCCTTCAGTGTTTAGTCACCTTAAATGTGGTAATCTAGGCCAATAAGCTGACCACCATTTACTTGAGCAATTAAACCCGTAGTGTTATGGTAGTAAATGCTGAACACATGAAGGAGAAAAGATCAGAGATGCAAGGTTTTCCCTCATCCCCTTAAAATGCATCGTTCAGAATATACTCAGTTTCTACTATATGCTATTACCATACAACAATTTTCTAAATCACTACACAAGAGGAAAACACTCAAAACAATTTTCTACATCCATCTCTTGGATGGTGTTTGTATATAATCAAACACCATAATGGGAATAATTTCATTTACTATTAAGCATAACCCAACAGATACAAGTGACTCAGGAATTGTTTCAATGGTTTAACATTTGACGTGCATCATTTGAAATGCTACTCTTTACTTTCTAAAAGTGCTGAGATCCCTTTGCCTTCCAGATTTATAACCCCACTGGCAGGTGCTGAAGTTGGGGAAACCTTTCTTTCTTTCTTTCTTTCTTTCTTTCTTTCTTTCTTTATTTATTTTATTTTATTTTATTTTATTTTATTTTATTTTATTTTATTTTATTTAGAAAATTTCTATGCCGCCCCATTCACCGAAGCCTCGGGGCGGCTCACAAATAAATCAATTAAAATACTATACATCAACAATATAAAACAAGTTAACAATATAAAATAAGTCACCCTGGCCAAAGAATAAAATAAATAAATACTATTAACATTGATATTTGTTTTAGTTATGTATGAAAGATTAAGGTAGGCTGCTTTGTGCAGCTGGGAAGTGGGAGAAACTTTTGCTCTTTTAAAATGTAGTAAAATCTATTTTAGTTTGACAGGGATTGTGACAGGGACACCAAAAGAATGTCTCATGACAGCCACAAGTTGACAGCAGACATTTCCACCACAAAGGGCCCTGAACTGATGGTGCATCATGATGTGCATCACGTTCATGATGGTGCATCACATTCTGAAAAATTGGTCCTAGCGCTTCTTGGAATGGGCTCTGGCATCTTCTGAGCTGAGCTGTATTAGCTGCCACCAGAAGCCTTGCTTAAATTTTCAATAAGAAAATAAAGGCAAACTAAAGTGAGTGAAACTGCCACTGCTTTTGTTTTGTACAAAGTGCCATCTCTAAATTAAAAAAAAAAAACAGAAGATACTTACGGTAGCAGATGTGCATGGGATGGATGGATGGATGGAAGTTTGCATCTACTGGAAGACCATCAAGTAGGACTGCATCCTTGTCTTCTTTTTCCCTGTGATTTCCTCTAAGCAATATGTTATTTTCTTCATATTTTGTCCAATTCAGATGTGGTGTTCTAGGTTAAATGTCTTCAAAGGCTAACCACAGGTTAATTGAGCAGTAAAACCCATAATGCTAGCATTAAGGTCATAAATTGTGAATATGTTCCAGAGCAGAGATCAGAGATGCAGATTTTTCTCTCCTGCAGTTAAGGACAGCATTCAGAACATGCTTAGTTTTTATTATATGTTATTGCCATACAGCGATTTCTAAGTTACCTGTTCAATGCACAAGAGGAAAACACCCAGCAGATTTGCTGGTATCCTTCCCTTGTGTATCACACAAAGAAACATCCCAAAAGGAAAACAATAGCTGCTAAACATACCTCCCAGAAATATGGCATCGTGAGTGTGGCCCTTCTTTTCCTGTCCTTAGGCTCCAAAACACAAAAAATCAATGCAAATTTTAATTGATGTTTTCCAGCTACAAGACAAAGTAACCCTATAAACCCTCTAGTGAGCCAAAAGCTAAACCTCTCCTTGTGTAAAAAGTGTTAAACCCAAACTGGGAACTTCACCCCAAAATTCTCCCCTTCAATAAGTCTATGGGTTCCACCCTCAGAACCTAGTGCCTCAAGGTGGCTTTCACTGGAGAAAGGACAGGCAGCAAGACCCATGTGAGCCATCTAACTGGGCAGCTTATCTCTCACAGCACCTTGTCATGGGATCAGGGACCAGGCAGGGCAATGGCTCTCCCACATCTCCTTCTTGTACCCTCCCATCTCTTCCAAAAATCTCTGGTCTCCTGGTTGGCCTGAGAACCCATGGTCAGAGACATTGAGGGAGCTTTAAATGCCTCTGCCTCTTCCTGAGTTTCCAAAGCTCCCATTGCCAAATCTTTAAGGCCTCCTTCTTCTTCACAATCTAGGTCATGATGACTCTGGGTTGCCCACAAAGAGTGGCAGTCAAGTTCACTTGCTATGTATACAAATGGGCCCACTGGGCTAGCCTTTGATGTATATTATTCAAACAATTCCCTTTGTTTCCTGAGTGTTGAAATAATCTCTCTCTATCCCAGATTTATAATCCCATTGACAGCTTTGCTTTTATTATTTGTTTTAGTTTTGAATGAGAATTAAGAGATGATTAGAGGGTGACCTACTGTTGGAAGCAAGAGGAAGCCTTTTTTAAAGATGTAACAAATTCTGTTTCCGCTGCCATCTTCAGCAAGGACACCAAAAGAGTGTTCCTTGTCAACTGCCAGTTTACAGCAGCCATTTTGCCCCCAGTGCCCCTGGAATGCTAGAACATCATGATGCAGCATCAAGCCATGAGCATTCTGGAGCTTGGGCTTCCTGAAATGGGCTTCAGTTTCTGAGGAGAGTTGAACTGCAGCTGGTAGCACAAGAACCAGAAAAGACAGACTGGCTTAAACTTTTCAATATGGGGAAAAAGAATTTACCATATTTTTTGCTCTATAAGATGCACTTTTCCCCCTCAAAAGTAAGGGGAAATGTCTGTGCATCTTATAGAGCGAATATGTGTGTGCAGTAAGTCTGTCAGATGTGCAGTCCATGGGGAAGTGATGGGGAATGTGCCTGTGATTATGTGCCCATTTGATTCAAAATATTTTTTTCCCCCTGTTTTCCTCCTCTAAAAACTAGGTGCGTCTTATGGTCAGGCGCATCTTATAGAATGAAAAATACGGTAAACTGCTCCTGCTGTCATAGGTATGGTTTGTTGCCATTGCATAGATTCTGTATAGTTTTTCACACAACCACCCTGAGATCCATGTTCAGACACCACAAAGTGCAATCTACATTGTCTGACAGAGCAGAAACCAAGTAGAACTGGTTGGGTACTTCCAGTCCCCATGTGGTAATGACTAACCACATTTTAACTTTCGTCTGGTATTAATTTGAAAGCTGTTCACACTGGGCTTCATTTTATGACCCCAGAATGCCTCAAGAAAGGTGCATGCTGTACTAGAAAGATCTTTGACTGAATATTTCACCAATGAGGCTTGAATCAGCAAAAATTATTAATTGCTTTTTCCTGAAGTGATGGATATGAGGAAAATCTACGCAACAGTGCTTGGTCTATTGACCTTCAATCGGCATGGTAATAGTCTGGACTACACATTTCACATCAGCTTTTTAAATTCTTTTTGCTGCA